AAGGCCGGTTGAGAAAAAATGGGCTCAACTTGATGATTATTTTGGTCGCTTGGGAGATTTGGAAACATAGAAATGATTGTGTTTTCAATGGAGTTGTCCCTAATGTGGAAGTTGTCCTCCAAGCTGTCGCTAGCGAGGGCGCCCTTTAGTGTTCGGCAGGGGCATCAAGACTAGTGAGTTTTCCGCTATGGCAATAATGCTAGCTCCGTAGAGAGGTTGACGTGAGCATGTGTTTGTGTTTTTTTAGTTTTGGTGTTGTCTATTGTAAGATCTTGTGGGGGTTAAACCCGCCACTTTTCTTAATTTGTCTCTTAATGAAATGATATACAGATCTCTTGTGTATTCGGGGAAAAAAAACACTGATCATCTTCATCTATCTTTTCATTTCCGATTCCTCCTCGGGCATTTCCAATTCAAAGAAAACCTCATAGCTATGGATGACTACCTCAGTTCTAAAGTGTAATGACTTTTAACTATGTAAAAAAATAAAGATATGTTCGGATACAGAATTAGAAATTGTTTTATTTTGAGATGGGATAGTATTTAGTTTATTGGTTATAATCTAGTTTCATTTCTTTATCGACTTCTCTTTTTTTAATGTCCTCTAAATATTCAATGCTACTGCTGGTGCGACAAAACTGAAATAAATATGGGTGAAAAACAGAGTTCATCTTGGATGAAGATATATGCATTTAACGTGCAAATCAGAATCATGTGGTCTATTACTTCTGCAATAATAAGGCGGATCCGAATCCTCTGCCATGAAAATTTTTCGGTGATCATTTGCACCGTCCATGAAGCATAGGACCATGCATAGTGAAGCGCAAGAAGAATGGAGACGGGGATTTCAATTTGCCAACTTTTTCATAAAAATAAAATAAAATTATGGGATTTATGAGAAACTTGATAGGGTTTTAATGTCCACAGAGTGGGAACAAAAATTTCCTCTGTCTTCTGTGGTGGCTCTTAATAGGGATATTTCTGTCTTATGTGGTGGCTCTTAATAGGGATATTTCTGATCATACTCCTTTACTGTTGAATACAAATTCCTCATCTCTCAGTAATACTCAATAGAGTTTTAAGTTTGAACTTGGTTGGCTATTACGAGATGGTTTTGTTCATATGGTGAAAGAAATTTGGTCTTGTGTTGACGAAGGCAATACTGCTATGGAGCGGTGGCTGGCAAAAATTCGTCGGTTGCGACAACATCTTAGGGGTTGGTCAAAACATACTAGTGGAGTTTATAAAAAAGAAAAGAAAGAAATTTTAGATAAGTTAGATTTGCTAGATAAAAAGGCTGAAACTTCTCTTTTGAGTCCGGAAGAATTGGATATTAGATGGTTTTACAGGAACAGATTATCATCTATTTTGAGAGAGGAGGAAATTAAATGGTATCAGAGGGCTAAATCAAAAGACATCTTAGAGGGTGATTCTAACACAAAGGATTTTCATTTAGTTGCGAATGGTAAACATAGGAAAACTAGAATTTTTCAGTTACAGGATGGTGACCATTTGATACATGGTGATGCAAATTTAAAATCGCATATTACTACTTATTATAAGGGTCTTTTTGGTCTACCTAAGGAATCTCAACTTCAATTTGATGAGAGTAAAGTTGCTGATATTCCTCAAGTTTCTCATATAGAGAATGAGGCTTTAATACAGGAATTTACTGAAACAGAGATTAAGGAGGCTATCTTTCAGATGGAGCACAATAAAGCCCCGGATCCCGATGGTTTTCCTGCTGAATTTTGTCAAGTTTTCTGGAGTGTTATTAAAAATGATTTACTTGACTTGTTTAAAGAGTTTCATAATGGTTCTTTACCTTTATTCTCGCTTAACTTTGGTACCATCATTCTTTTACCTAAGTATGTAGAGGCCATGAAAATTCAACAATATAGGCTTATATGCTTACTTAATGTTAGTTTCAATTTTTTTACCAAAGTTGCCACAAATAGAATAATGTGTGTTGCCCAAAAGGTCATTAGTCCTACTCAAACTGCTTTTATTCCTGGGAGAAATATCATGGAAGGTGTGGTTATTTTGCATGAGACTTTACATGAGTTATCGTAAAAATAATAGTGGTGTTATCTTAAAGATTGACTTTGAGAAAGCTTATGATAAGGTTAAATGGCCCTTTGTTCAATAGACTTTGCGGATGAAGGGCTTCTCTCCTAAATGGTGTGAGTGGATAGCCTCTTATATCCAAGGAGGTCATATTGGTATTAAAGTCAATGATCAAATTGACGATAATTTTCAAACTTATAAAGGCTTTGGACAAGGATGACCCGTTATCTCCAATTCTTTTTAATATAGTAGCTAATATGTTAGCTTTGCTAATTAAAAGGGCTAAAGAGAATGGTTCTCTTAATGGGGGTAATTCCTCATCTTGTGGCTGATGGTTTGTCTATCTTGCAATATGCATGATACTATCATTTTCTTGGAGCATGACTTACAACAAGCAAAGAACTTGAAATTGATTTTATCTGTATTTGAAAAATTATCTGGCCTGAAAATAAATTTTCACAAAAGTGAGTTATTTTGTTTTAGGCAGGCAAAAGAGTGCTTTGATCAATATTCGTCTATATTTGGTTAAGCTAGGCTCCTTTCATGTTGGATATCTTGGTATTCCAATGCATTTTAGGAAGTTGAGTAATAATGATTGGATGGTTATTGAACAAAGAATAGAGAGAAAACTGAGTAGTTGGAAAGGTAAACATATGTCTGTTGGAGGTAGATTGGTTTTGATCAATTGTGTACTTTCAAGTTTAGCTATGTTCATGATTTCTTTCTTTGAGATTCCAAAAAGGGTTCTTCAAAAGATTGATTATTATAGATCACGTTTCTTTTGGCAAGGGGATGACCATAAGAAAAAAATATAGATTAACTAGATGGGATATAATTTGTCAACCCAAAGACCAGGGTGGATTGGGTGTTCATATAAGTTAATTAATGAGGATGGTGTTTGGCAAGATTTATTGAAGAGAAAGTATCTTCATAACCCAAGTGGATAGGAAACAAGGTGGTTTTCATTTTTGGTTAGGGCTTATGAAGGTAAAAAACACATTCTTAAATATGGGCTCTTGGATTGTGAATGATGGTCAACAGATAAGATTCTGGGAGGATAAATGGCTAGGAAATATGGCCTTTACGGATAAGTATCTATCTTTATATGCTATTGTTAGGAGGAAGAGTGCCCCTATTGCTAGTGTTATGGGCTCTGTCCCGCTAAATGTTTCTTTTAGGAGAGCTTTAGTTGGGCAGAATCTAACAATTTGGCATGATTTGTGTGCTTCTATTGCTCATATCCAGTTGGATGATACTGGTGATTGTTTTAGATGGAATTATCATCAGAATAGCCAGTTTTCGGTAAGATCAATGTACTTAGCTTTAATTAGTAATGGTTACATTGATAGAAATAAGTTCATTTGGAAGCTTAAGATGCCGCTTAAGATTAAGAACTTTATGTGGTACTTGCTCAAAGGAGTCGTCTTAACTAAGGATAATCTAACGCGACGGAATTGGAATGGGTGTTTAAGATGTTGTTTTTGCATGAAAAATAAGACGATTCAACACTTGTTTATGGATTGCCATTATGCAAAGTTTATTTGGAGAGCTGCTCGGTTTTCTTTTGGATTACACCCTCCTAGAAGCATACCTCATATGTTTGACGGTTGGCTTCAGGGTGTGGATAAAGAAAAGAGAAAATTGATACTTGTTGGTACATCTGCCTTATGTTGAGCCCTGTGGTCGTGTAGAAATGATAGGGTTTTTGACAAAACGCCATCTGTTTCTGTAACATCCTGAAAATTTACAATTTTCTAATCCTGCATCATGCCACTTCTTATGTTTTTAATAATTTCCTAAACCTAGGAAAATATAATTAGTGGGACCTCCTAAAACTAACTTGCATAAAATCCCTCTATGGTATTTAACTTCTTTTGTGTTTTTCATTTAAAGATATATTTGGTTAAATTAAGGTGTTTCTTGATTTGGTTTTAAATTAAAACCTTCTTTCGACAAAATTCCTCTTATTCAAATTTAGTTGAAAACCCTTTTCATTTGTATGAATTATGGTCCAAGAAAACCCTCCAAACCAACTCTTTGTAATTCCGATTTTAATTGGAATTAATTGTCGACCCATCCTTTGATTCCAAACCTATCCTTAGTTCCCTTGACAAATCTCAAGTATCCAAATTCCTCCTTTCAATCTAGCCGCCAATTTAATTCCCATGGCTTGATTCCTCCTCGGCACAAGAAGATATATTTCATCCTTCCATCCCAAATCCAAAACCTCATTTAGCCCATAATTAATTCTAGATTTCCTACCACATATTTTGGGCTAAAATTTTATTTATTCCATTCCCTCCATTTTCCTCCCACATTCCCAATTATATATCTCTCTCCCCCATTTGAGTGCATCTATATAAATTCAACTATATTCCACTTCCAAAAATATTGCACTCAAATTAGAAAATATCTCTTTTGGAAATTATATCCAAATATAATTTCCTTCCAAACTTTCCTATTCAAATTCTTTTCAAATATAAATCCTATTCAATTCCATTACCCAAACCCCCTTCAAAATTCAGAAAAAGTTTCTATTCACTTTGGGCCGAAATCCTTTTTCTTCTCCCTTCAGCCCAAGCCGGCCCAAATCGGCCCATAGCCGAGCCGCCTCCAGGTGCGCGTGTTGCACACGCGCACGCCGCCGCCAACACCTTCCGTCGCCGCTAAGAAATCGGCCGCCGTTCTCTCCACGCCGCCGCCGCCGTCAACTTGCCGACCACGCCAAGCCGTCGCCGTGCCGTGCCTCTCTGCTGCCGCCGCCCAGCCATACGGCAGCCACCACGTGCACGCGCCGCCGTCGCCATCCAATCAGAGAATGAAGCCGGCGCCGTCTTTTCTTCCTTCACATCAGCGTCGCCGTGGCCGAGTCGACGACCGCCTCCACAACCGCCTTCGGCAACCGACCTCCGCGGCCTATAAATAGACGATGAGGTCGCCCCTTTTCCCCTCCACACCATCCGAGCTCTTCGAGCTCTGTCTTTCTCTCTCTCTTCCTCAAGACCGGCTGCCGCCACCGTCGGCCGATCTCTCTCACCGGAGCACCACTAACCAAATCCTCTCACCACCAACATTGCCTTACTCCGGCGAATCCATTTTTCCACTTTTCCCCTTCTCTTTCGTCCCATTTCAAGCCCCACCGGAGCTCTCTCTCTCCTGCCGGTTCACGGTCTTGAGCTCGTCGTTCCGGCCATTCCCTTAACCCCCTCTGCCGGCCACTACCTTACCTAGGTGTGCTGTACCCGGGAACACCACCGGCCGTCGGCGTCGCCGCCTTCCGATTACTGGAGCCCCGACGCCCCTCTCCTCCTCCTCTCTGTTCGACCGGAGAGAAGAAGAAGGAAGAGACGGGAAGAAGAAGAAGAAGAAGAGAAAGAAAAAGAAAAAGAAAAGCCTGACAGGTGGGTCCCCTGTACAGTGACTTTTCTCATTTTCTCTATTTAATTCAAATCCCAAACTTTAGAAGCCCATGTCTCCTAAACCGTAGATCCGATTCCAGTCAAACTTGGACCTAAAGTCATCTAAATTCAAAATCTATATTTTGATACCAAATTTGCTATTTTAAGATTTTATTTAGATTTCCTTAAGTTATTTAAATGTCATTTGCTTTTCAAATATCTCCTTTTATTTTAAAATACCCTTTAGCCACTAAAAAGCCGCCGGTTGGAACTTTACACCTTCCATGGGGACGTTCGCGTGGTCTACGGACCCCAACGTCGAACCGTTGGTTGTAAAGCTCGGCATAAACCAAACCCAAGATTGAAGTGCTGCTCCTGGCACCCTACGCCTCACTGCGTACAATGGTCGGAGCTTGACTATTTCCTCGACCTCCACAGCACGCTACACAGTTCGCTCTCAAGCTCTGTGTGATTCTAGCCGCTCCACCGCCACTCACGGTTGTCGGAGTAACACTTCCACCCCACTAAACCTGCACCCACCTCCTATTCTTCTAGCCGATATGATGTCTATCGACACCAGCTAGAAATGATACCAAATCTAGTCGCTATACTATCCAACTCTAGCGATGACTAGCAAACACCCAAAACCCTAGCCGATATTTATCCTACCTCAATATTGGCCTAAACAACTAAACTCTAGCTAACACCTTGTTGGTTAAAACCCAACCGTCATCCAAATACCCCACCTACCAATATCGCCTATCCATTATACTCAGCCACCTACTCTCCTAGAACCTATACAGAGCCTAACCGATATGCTTCCCTACTCCGTAGTCGGCTTAAATATAACCAAACCCTAGGTATTATACTACCCGAACCTACCACCAACCAATACTAGCCATATTCCAACTGAACCAGTTCAATTATCCAATATACATCCTATCCTTTTAGCAACCAAGCATTCACATGAAATATAAGCAACCTTAGTTGCCTGATCCCCTCTCCACCTTAGCCTTCAACCCTTTAGAACCCTATACCCCTTTAACGGAGATATTTATACCCCAAGCCTAGCCATTCTTGCTCTTTATCACTTTCTTACTATTTCATGATTTTTATTGAATTTGGTTCTTCGTCTTTCTTAGTAGAGTCTATTTTATTTTGGATGGCAACCTGTGGTATTTCGAGGATCGGATAATCAGGTTGCCTATCTCGGATTTGTTTGCGTTGGAGCAAGGGAAGTTATTATTCCCTCCCTTTGAGCATAATGATCCTATATTCTTATATCTCTATTCTATGTATTAGTCATACATGATTTCAAATGCATAACTTGAACATATAGCAAACTAGATATATGCTAGCTTTTGCTTAGCTCTGCCTAGTTAGACTGCATAAAATATAATGAACTTAGATTGGGACAGTACGGTAGAAATAGTTGATTTCCGGGTGGCTAGTACTGTTCCAACCGACATAAGACTGCCAAGTACATGTGAAGAACATATGAGTACGACCGCAATTCTCGTATGGGCATGGACCTAGCTGATTAAGTTATCTAGCAAAGGTGGTACCTCTGTATAGTGGTTCTTCTTAAGTCCTCGCACAGGAGGCAAATTTATGCCGCGAAGGGCAATATTGTGATATTTACCGAGGCGCAGGTAAATATTTATTTGAGATAAATCATGATCATGAATTGTTTGTGAACCCTAATTGCGAAGACATGGTGTCATACAATCAGTTCTCTCTAAAGATCTCGGGAATGCCAGAACTCCTCTCGCTGCTGATAACGCTACGTTCAGAGCGCATGGGGACTAGAGTTCATGGAACAGGTACCACTGATGTTAGTAACTGAAAAGCTTTGCCATGATAAGGCTAATGTGTTTGGCACGTCATGGATTGCAGGTAAAGCGTACATCTACTGCAGTATGAATATTATTAAAACTATTCGAATAGCTGTGCTCGCGGTTATCGGGCATTGGGACTCACTATGGCATCTTGGATAGAAACCTAATTCAAAATTTTATTAAATACTGCTGCATTTAAAACATTACAGGTTTTCTACTTCTACATTCTCTGCTTTCTGCAAATAAACCTAGCTTTACACAGATATTATCAATTCATACATTCATTGTTGATTAAATATAATAGCTTGCTGAGTACGTTGTACTCACCCTTGCTTCAACCCCCTTTTTCAGAGTCCATTTGGAGTTTGTGCCGAAGCTGGGAGTTCAATTATATAAGTTAGTTTCATGTCAACCTAATTCTCAAGTCTAGATTAGATAGATGGTTTAAGTCTATAGCAAAACAGCAAAGTTAGTCTATTCCAAAGCTTTTGCTGCACTAGTTAGCCACAATCTTGTAAATACCCTATTACTTTATGTAATAATATCTCCTTCAAAGCTATGTCTAAATGTATGTAAAGACGATCCAGATTATTGAAATTGTATCAATCTACTGATCTAGGGCTTGATACAATTTTAATATGTCGGTTACCGAATCATTAGTTTTGGGACCCGACAGTTTCCTATATGTAGGTAATTTTCAGGGCAACATATTGGCTTCGACAGTGGGTTCAACTACAAAAGTATGAGGAAGATGGAGTTTTCCTGAATGTTGCATGTCGTAATCTTGAAACAATGGTTATGCAACTTTTCGCCAACTATGGATGGAGATTCACCAATAGACTGGAATATTGTTTTCCTTGTCATGTTAGGTCTTCTTTAAATTTTGGTTGGTTGGCTTGCTTTATTTTGGACTACGTCTTTTTAAGTTTGCTACTTTTTGTAATAATTAGCTGTAGCTCTTCGGAATAAAGGCCGGGATGTTACATTCCATTATTAAAAAAAATTATGGGATTAGGAACATATTGGGCATGTGTTGATGATGATCCAAGGACGTGTGTTGTTCCATGCCTAAACCAACCACACCAACATAAAATGCTCAATGCAAAAATACTCAAGTTTTATTTGGTTTGTTGTCAAAGATTTGACAATGGAGTCATTGTAGTAAGGCTAAAGGCCCCTTTATTGGTAGGAAAAACATAAAAAACTTAAAGTTCTATAGGAAATACTCATAGGAAGACCTTTAAATAAACGATTGAGTAATATACTTTCCTTTGAAATTCTTATGAAATAGGTAATTTTATAGAGATTTTAAAGAAAAGTAAAGAATGAACTTTAACCTCTTAAAAATTACCTTTAAGGTTATCTCACTCATCCGATCGAGCAGTTTTTCTTACTGTCTATTTATAAACGAGCATCCTGTCTAATCCGAAATTTGACAAAATGAACTTTGCCTAACAGAAATCCTCTGTGTTTAGTTCACGATAAAATTAAAAGTTTGATTGAAATTGGAACGATGTAACGGAAAAGTTGGAAGTTTGTGTGTGTAGGAAAGTTTTGATGTGATGAAAAAGTTAGATGTTTGAAGAAAAAGTTTGGAACTAAACAAGGGATGAAGCTATTGCTTGAGGTGTTGTTTGGATCTGACGAAAAAGATTAAGTGATAGACACGTAAAACGTGAAAGCCATTAATGCATCATTAATTAAATTTTAATTATTACAAACTTGAGAAAATGGATTTATTTAATATTAGAAAGCAACTTGTATATAACGAAATACAGTTTTTAGCTGTTTGAAAAATGTGCTAATGAAAAACAAGGTAAAATTTATATTTAATTAATCAAGTAGATCAAGGCCGTAGTACTATCTTTTACGGTGGTACTACCTTTACAGGCTTTCTTTGGTTGAAGCTGCCAACTCAATTTCCTTGTTTTTTACGTGCACACTTTTTAAACAATTAAATCATTAAATGATACGTTGTTTACGAAAAAAAATATACACAAAAGTTGTTTAAAAATCGTAATAATCTATTTTTAGAAAGAATAGCCAGTACTTAATTAATTATGTACTAATAAGTTGCTTTGTTTTACGTGCACGATGGATGAATTCCCAACCCAAATAACAAACTCAGGCAGTAGTACAGACAGTGTTTAGTTCCTTCAAACCTCTAAAAATTCCGTCACATCAAATGTTTGGACACATGCGTGGAGTATTAAATATGGATGAAAAAAAACTAATTACACAGTTTGCATGTAAATTGCGAGACGAATCGTTTAAGCCTAATTAAGCTATGATTTGACAATGTGATGCTACAGTAAACATTTGCTAATGACGGATTAATTAGGCTTAATAAATTCGTCTCGCAATTTATAGGCGGAATCTGTAATCTGTTTTGTTATTAGTCTATATTTAATACTTTAAATGTGTGTAGTTGAAGATTGAACTAACCAACATAAAAGAAAAAAAATATCGGAGAGAGTAACTTTGGCTTGCAGAGCACAATTAACTCTGGCTTGCAGTGTACTACACAATTCCAAGAAGCCCCAATCCAAAATAAAAAAAACTAGAGAGGGGCCAATCCACAAAAGACACAAGACTATTGTTGACCAGTTGACCGACCCCCCTTCCTCGGCGACATCGTCTATATTACGATTTGCCCCCAAAAACCCCCAACTCTCCCGCTTCATCGTTTCCACCGGAGAAAAACCCTCGAACGCCGCGCCGCCCATGGCCTCCGCCACCGCCGCCGGCGACGCCTCCGCCGCGGCGTTCTGGACGGCGTGCCCGCACTGCTGCTACGTCCACTCCTACCCGCGCCACTACGCCGGGCGCCGCCTCCGCTGCCCGACCGCCGCCTGCCGCCGCGCCTTCTCCGCCGCCGAGCTCCCCGCCGCGCCGCCCATCGTCCCGGGCACCGACATGTACTTCTGCACCTGGGCCTTCTTCCCGCTCGGCCCCCCCGCCGCCGCCGCCGACGGGTGGGCCCCCTTCACCCCCTTCAACTCCGCCCCGACCCCCTCCCCTCCCCCCGCCACCGCCGCCGCCCCCGCCCCCGCCCCCGCTCGCGCCGGTGGCCCCACGTCGAGGAAGAAGATGTGCGTGTCCCTCAAGGGGAGGGCCCGCGTGGAGGCGGAGCAGGAGGAGGAGGAGGAGGAGGCCGCGGCCGCCGCCACCATCATCGATCTCGAGCCGGAGGTGCAGGAGGGCGGGATTGGCGAGAAGGGCTTCACCGGCATCAACCTCAACGAGTCGGTGGAGCTGAGCGAGCTGGGGTTCCGCGACGACGAGATCGAGCTCTTCACCGCCATGTCCTGAATTCGTGATCGCTGGGGAAGGTGGTGAAAAAGGTTGTGCGCCTTCTGATCATAATATCATATACTCAATGCTTAGTACTACTAACTGCTCAACATGGTGGATGGTTTGAAAAAATTGGGATAGTAACCAGTAATATAATCTTCGTATCTGTGTAGTTATCAAGGTTTTAGTTTCTTATGATGGAATGTAGGCCTTTAGGGCTTAGCAATGCATAGTTTTTGGTTATCTTAATGGCACAAGGCTATGGTATGAAGGTGATCGCGCATAGTGGTGGAAATGGCAAATGTGGATCCTTTTGGTTGGACTTGGAAGTGTAAAGTGGGTTTTATGTCTTTTGGTGCTGGAAAATGTCCACTTTATGGCCCCAATATATATAAATTTTAGTTTTTAGTTTCAGCTTGTTCTGTTTGTGCACGGTTTTGTCGGATGGTGATATCAACTTGAGATTATCCTCTGGTTTATTGTTGTTGATTTAATCACTAGAATGGAACACAAAGTTTCATGCTTGCTTGCACTCATTTGCCTTTGGTGTGTGAGTTTCTGATGCCCTGAGGATTTCTGATGATCAGTTCGTTCAGTTCTTGTGTCGGAGCCCTGCAGCTGAATGCGACCAAATTCTTTCAGTGACTGTTGTGTCTTAAATTGGATATCCAAGGTGCTATGTTATCCAACTGGGGATAGGATAACACAGCGCCACAATTTTCAGTCTGTGATCTTTGACATCTTCATCAGTAGAACTGTCAAATTTTGCAGGCCAATGTTGTGAGTTTGATATGGCCACCATTCACTCACCATTTATCCTTGTTTTCACTATTTGTATTTCGTTGTTTCAAAAAAAATATTTGTATTTCAGCTAGTGAGAAATGAATGGTATAAAAGTATAGTATGGCCAAATCAGATATAATCTTTCCAGCATAATTCACAAAAAGTGGGGGGATACAATACACAGTTCTGCTTCAGATTAGTATAGTTGGTGCTTTTTTTTTTCCACCACTTGTGACTATTTGGCTAGAAGTTGTGGCTTTAAACAATGTGCTTCAAACATTGTGTATAGGTGCTAGTGGGGAAAAAAATGGAGCTATGTTACTTCAATTCCTGCCTGTGAAAAAATATTTGTTTCCTCAAAATCTGATGGTTTAAGCTGAGCCATCATTTCACTGTCTGACTCCTGAGTTACAGAGTGGAGCTAGAACTTCTGGTACGCAAAAACCACATGGAATTCACTAACATGTAGTACCAATGTACATTATGTAGTACCATACAACTCGCATCGCTTTCATTATGGACATATCTTCTGTGTTTTCGCTGTATCCATTCTGTCAGGACAAGAATCCGGCCAAATTAAAAGCCATGCAAACTGACAAGAGTATGATCTGTCGTAAATGTTCAAGATTTTGTTTTATTTTCTCTGCTGTGATTAGAGTCATTCTCCATTCTTGTAATGGGGTGTACATGAACTGCAGCCTGCAGGTATTTATTTTGTTCAGTGTGACGTATAAATAATGTTGGCAATTACCGGGTCACTGTTTATGATTTTTCAGTGCTGCTAGATCAAGTTTGCTCTTCCGGGCTAGTAATATTTGACGATTTCTTCAGTTGTTTGTGTAATTCTCGTAAAAACCTGTACAATTTACAGGAAGCAAACACCGCTTCAGATCGCATGGACTGGGCTTTGGCCCATGCCTAATGAATAATTATACCTACAGTGGGCCAGATTTGGCCCATTGCAAATTGTTACTGGCGAAAGCATAATTAGACTTCGGACGTCGGCGATGGATAAGTTGCCGCAAAATTTGTAACTTTGTTTTTTGGATTTTTCTACACGTCTTAAATTTTCTTCAGTAACTTGGTTAAACACAAATACAATATAATTACATTGTAACTTACATTTTACTATAGTATAATTTTTATATATAACTTTAACATAGTTTTGGACAGTTAGATTTGCTCAGATTCATGCAAATATGGAAAGAAAATATTAATGTGTTCAATTGCTCATGGATGAGGACTTTTTGGGGGAAAAATTCGGATATATAAGATTCCCTCCGTCCCAAAATATAGTAATTTTTAGGTGGATAGGACATATTCTAATACTACGAATCTAGATAGGGGTATATCCAGATTCATAGTACTAGAATATATCACATCCAACCAAAAGTTATTATATTTTAGGACGGAGGCAGTAGTCCCTTTATTTACTAGTAACTCCAAGAGGGCTCAACAAGAAAATTATACCTTCGTCTAAGTTGTGAGATAATCGGGTACTACTCTACTATAACAAACTCTGTATTTTCTGGACCATAGGGTACTGATAATGACCATAGGGCACTCTATTAACCTTAGGAGGCTGTGATAATTATGTCGGCCATGCAGGAGATGAGAACCAAAACCTAATTTTTTTTCATACCAACAACATTTATTTTTATACACCCTCAACGAAAGAAAATCCCAATCATCAGATTTGCTGTGATTATTCTCAACATACACGAATATTAATTTTACTATCTTACAGTGAAACGAGCGTAACTTAACTGGTTAGATTTCTTATGGTGGAACCAGTTTATCCGAGTTTAAGTCCTAGACTTGATACGGAGCTCAGATTTATAGCTAATTGTAGGTGATATACCCGTCAATAACGAGATGCCCATGGTGAACTTAGTCAATCTTAAAGTATGCCGGTCTAGTATTATAAAGGTGCTCATACTTATGCCCGTGATCTCAAAATATGAAAAAAAAAAATCAGCTCAGACATCCAAAAGTACTCGTAGGGGCAAGATATGCGTTTGTGCCTTCATGGGTGAGTCCACGCGTATTACATGATTTTTATTCCCTATGTCCTAAAATATAAGGGATTTTGGAGAGATATGACACCTAAATATGAATAATCTGTCTAGAACAAGATTATGGGCATGTTTAGTGGAGCTTAAGATTCTGAGAAGCAACTGCTAAGAAGCTAGCTGGTGAGAATCTGGAGAAGCTGGAAAACCCAGCTTCTGTCTTCTAGTTCATTTTCCAGATTCTACATCTATAGATTCTTAGAATCTTGGTAAAAAGATGGGTTGTTAGGGAGAGCTTTTGGTAGCTAGAGATTATAGGAGAAGATGCAACTGCTAAAAACTCCTTTAAATAGGTCCTTTTAGTAATGTGTCACGACCTCTAAAATCGCTTACATTTTGAGACGGATAGGACAAGAAAAAGCCTGGAAAATCAGAAAAAAAAAAGGAAGAGCGAAAATGACAAGATTACCCCTCCGCCCCTTCCACCTTCTCGCAGCCACACCTCCTCCTCTTTCCCCTCTCCTCCCTCTCCACTCCACACGCCGTACTCGCCTCCGTCTTCCCCCCCGATCTGCGGGCGCGCGAGCTCGGAGCGTCCTTCCCCGCGCGCGCCGCCGCCACCGCCGAGAGAGTGGCCTCCTCCTCCTCCTCCCTTCCTTCCCGCGTGGCCTGGGCCTGCGGTTACCCCGCGCGCACGGCCGACGACGACTGCGACGGCGACGAAGGCGAGCTGGTTTCGGAGGGGGGCGCGACGCGGCCGACCTGCTCCCCCATCTGGTTCGAATCGAAAGGTATATCCTCGTTCTTCTGTCCTTGGCCCTTGTTCCACTCCAACCTTCTCGACGCCGCTGGATGGATGGGCGGCTTAGATTCGGAATCCGTCCGATTTGGGATTGGGTTTCTTCCCGTCGAATTAACGCATCCGGTTCTTTGTGCATTTCGTTTTATTTTATGCGTGGTAGAGAGTACTAGTAGCATCTTGTAGCGTGTGTTTCCGTGAAAACAAAATTGATTTGGTTGGGGGATTATGTGATGGTGAAGCCATGAAGCTCGCCGACCACTGTCACAGTGTGACTGCAGAGAGATGGGTGAGAGAGGGGGAGGAAAGGGATTGATGAGCTTTCCCTCTGTAGGCTACTTGCGCTATCGCAGGAGATGGCTTCAAATGGATCCTTGTTCCATTGCAATTGTTGGGTTACTGGAGATGACTCTGGAGAATAAGATCTGAATGAGTAAAATGTGGTTCGTATCGTGCCCCTTGGGTAACCCGGCCATCGATTGGATTGATGTTAGGTTTTGCAAAAGTTGAACTTCATTTTGTAGTTTAATTTTGATTCCCTTTGTTTGGCGTGAATGCAGTCGTATCTCTGGAGAATTTTTGCTGAAACGTTAAATGTGTTAGAGCAATCGAATGCTTGTCGTGGTTTACTTTGTGCGAGGATCTTTTTTTTGCCTCATGCTAGCATGTGAACTGCTTATGAAATATGAACCATTGCTATGTTGGTGAAGAAATCTGGTTATAACTTTTGTTGAATGCAATTTGTAGGTCTAGTGGTAAATGTATGACCTGACTTGAATAGTATCTTTTCAGGTGGATGCCAATCGGTTGGTCGGTTAAAAACAACTAATTTAGCTGATCCTGTGGGGAAGAAGTAATGGTACTGCCAGGCTCTAAGGAGTCTCAAAATTATGATAGCAACAACCAGAAGGTTCATCCTCAACCAATTGACGAAAACATGAATCAGAACATGGGCTCAATGGACACCATGATTGGAAGGATATTCAACAATATATCCTCTTTAAAGTCTGCATACATTCAGCTGCAGGAAGCTCACACCCCATATGACCCAGACAAGATCCAGGCTGCAGATCAGCTTGTCATAGAGGAGCTCACGAAGCTCTCAGAGCTCAAGCATGCTTACAGAGAAAAGAATCCTAAGCCTGTAGCGGCAACACCTCAAGATGCACGGCTGCTTTCTGAAATACAAGAGCAACAGAACTTGCTGAAGACATATGAGGTCATGGTAAAGAAGTTCCAGTCCCAAATCCAGACTAGAGATACTGAGATAACACATTTACAGCAGCAAATCGATGAGGCTAAACTTCGGAAATCAAAGCTTGAGAAGAAACTGAAACAAAGGGGCTTACTCAACAAGGAATCTGAGGAATCTGATGATGAAGACAACTACTTTTCCATCGAGTTGACACCAAGTTTATTTACATCTGCTGTTGATAATGCATACCAATCTATACATGATTTTTCAAAGCCTTTGATCAACATGATGAAAGCTGCAGGGTGGGATCTTGATGCTGCTGCTAATGCAATTGAACCTGCTGTGGTTTACACAAGGAGGGCTCACAAAAAGTATGCTTTCGAGTCATATATTTGCCAAAGAATGTTTGGTGGTTTCCAAGAAGAGAGCTTTTCTGTTAAGGCTGCTAACATTACTGTTTCCAATGAGGCTTTCTTCCATCAGTTCCTTGCAGTACGAGCCATGGATCCTTTGGATGTCTTGAGCCAAAATCCTGATTCGGTTTTTGGGAAGTTTTGCAGAAGCAAGTACCTATTACTTGTGCACCCAAAAATGGAAGGCTCTTTCTTTGGTAACATGGATCAGAGAAACTATGTAATGAGCGGTGGCCATCCGAGGACACCTTTCTATCAAGCATTTCTGAAGTTAGCGAAGTCGATATGGTTACTGCACAGGCTGGCATACTCCTTTGATCCAAAAGTCAAGGTCTTTCAAGTGAAGAAGGGGAGTGACTTCTCCGAAATTCACATGGAAAGTGTTGTCAAGAACATCATCCTAGATGAAGGTGCAGAGAGGCCTAAAGTTGGCCTAATGGTGATGCCTGGGTTCTTGATTGGGACTAGTGTCATACAATCTCGGGTGTATCTTTCAGGTGTCAAGTCTGCTGATTGAAGCTGATGCAGTTACTCGAGAAGATCAAGGCTACTTTGCATCTTGCCTGATCAACCAATCACATTAGTACAAGGACGATTAAGGGTCTTGTGTGTGATGCTGCTGTCATCTCTGAAAGATGCTATAGTCAGAGTGTCGGTGAAAAATATTGTCTTTTTAAAATTTCGAGTGCCATGCTGTTTGTATGTTTCTTCAGATAGATTTCTTCTGTAATGTAACTGTCAAATGTTTGTCTATATATATGTTTATGTGTGTTTTGACTGGCATCCTAGGCGTGTAAACTTCCTATGATGCTCCTTTGCATAATTTGTAATTCACGGCTATTCACCAGAATGTAGTATGCTCTGGAAACTAGTGTGTCCATGCTTTGCACAATCAGGCTCATATAATTGGGGATTGGTTGGGGTATATTGAGGATAGAACACACTGGGAAGAGGATGGATGCGCTTTTGATGTAGAGATGGTGCAGTCAAAATTTGATACCAATAATATGAAGGGTATCTAAATTGCCAGGTGTAAATAGAGCCATACAATTTTCATAGATGAGTACACAGAGACCACATGCATCTGTACACTAGCTATAATGATCCACATGCTTCTTTTGAGATGAATGTATCAGTGCTCAGCAGAGGAGGTATTGTGATTATGATAAAACGCATAGAGCATACGTGGCCTGCATGCACGCCATAACATCCCACACCCGGTTGATGGCACCGGACACAAGCAAAGCTTGGTAATCTTTGAACGGTACACTAACCGGAAAACTGCTTAATAGCAGTCAAGTTAATCTGCATGAGGAGCCTAAAGCAGCAAGAGAACGTGTAAATTAAACAAGGAACCCCAAAAAAAAAAAGAAAAAACGGAGAAAAAGGGGATGGTTAGGGGAGTTACTGATTGATGATTTCGGTAGAGGAGATATTGTGATTGTAGGAAGACAAGACCTGATTGCATATGCTACGGTGCAACCAGACCAGAAGCATTCACTTTTAACTGGGGCACTCACAGCGAAACCAACCTCACGCCAAGCCACCATTCAAGATGGGTTTGACATGGGAAAGGTGATAACACAGATGACAGATTCATGACTTCACCCAAAAAAAAATCAAATAGAAACGAAATGTCGTCTAACTCCACAAACACGAGAGGGTTTCATGTACAACATCTGCCATGCACGCACGCTACTACAGTTTATTTGACATAAGCTGTAAAAGATAGGAAAATCCATCACACTTCACACCGAAGCCATGGAGATGCAGAGTATACGTATCACCAGACGCTTCGAAATGTAGTGAAAAAGCATGCCACGGCACAGAGTTAGCTTTCCCTAGTGCTGTTCTTTAGCCACTCCAGGTACTTGAGGTTGCCTCCTTTTATGGGCAGCGCGATGACTTCAGGAACGCTGCATTGGGAAATCAAGTAGTGAATCTCAGATCACGACAAGAGAGAAATTTTAGGTTTACGACCTGTCAGTATATACTGACAAACAGATGAAAATTGATGGACAGAAAAGAACTTACTCATACTCATGGTTGGCTTTCACGTGTTCGGTCAACGCATCAAGAAGAGACTCCCTTGTCTTTATGATGAGCAGTTCTTCAGCATCAGTTTGCACCTGCAAAAAGATATCCGCTGATCACTAAATATCTTTTTACATAAGGGAATAGGCAAAACGCTCATTGACCTAAAGGAGTATAGTGAGAGTGCAAAGCTAAATGAACAGCTAAAGCTTGAAATCAACCTATCCCAAAGAAGGAATAGAAATGTACCTTTCCTTCCCACCAGTAAACAGATTCAATACCTGGAAAGAGGGACACAGAAAATTAAAAACTAAATAAAATGAGTCGATGTTAATGTAATGTAAGATAGAAAGTAGGCCAAAAAATCATGAATCAGAATAAAACTAATAGAGAGGATAAATATAGATATCTCAGCTTAGCAATTCCATTATTTTGTCTCTCTTTAGATGAAGTCCCATTATATTGCAAAGTGCGCGATACACAATAGCATGCTGCCGCATGCATGTAACAACACATCATCGTGTCCACTCCATACCACATTCCAGTGCCTATGCACAAAGAAGAGCTATTGCCAACAGCTACAGTATTTTTTAATAAACGTCTGATGTTGCATTGAGGGTCCAACCAATAAGACAATCAAAGACCAAATATGTCGAGCTTCAGCTAGACAGCTACCACAAGCTAGAGAATGTACTTTCCGTTTCTTGTCAAAAGCCAAGTTGTAGTTATCAAGAAAAACCACTTAGTTCCATTTCTAATAGACCTACCACCACGTTTATATTCATAAAGCAATTTCTTTTCAGCCCTTAATTGTCACGAACAAGGAATACGGTCCTGAACCTAAACGGCGCGACGCTCTCCGTCGCACTGAGAAGGCAGGCCGATGGGCACTAAGATAAATATTGATCTAATGCCTAACTGACCTGGGATAGGATCCCTCCTTATATAGATGGAGGGCTACTTAATCTAATCCTAACAAACCTTATCTAATCCTAACAAACCCTAATTCTATCTCATGGGCCTAGGACTCCCGGCCCAAAGCCCATGACATTACTCCCCTCTTTTTGAGCAGCTCGTCCTCGAGTTGCAGCGGACCCTGCTAGACTCAAACAAAACACCATAACCTAAACTAAGACTCTTAAGCCTTTTACATCTCGGCTTTTATTATGAACAAAAATAAGAAACAATTCATGCGCAGGAGGACCTGGTCCTACAGAAACCCTGAGCATGCCTCCCACCGAAGCCCACTTGTCCAGCCCAACAGCAAAGGAATAAATAGTTGACTCGGATGCTTCATGGGCCAACGTGGAAACCACCCAGACCAGACCAGCCAACCCAATTGGGAGAGGACAGAAACCCTATCCTCTTGTTCTTCACGAGGCCACGCCGCCAGAAACGATGCAGCCGTGATCGAGCCGCGAGCTTCACGAACCAACGTGTGGACCCGGCGCAATCTACGCCATCGCGACGCACGAGTGCCACGCCCACCCGTCGCGCTCGCGACTCGAGCCGCATGCACGCCGCCTGGCTTTGCTCCAACCGTTGCCAGAATTTGCGCCACCAACTGCGGAAACCGCGTCGCATCGCCTGGAAATCGTGCCCGAGAACCGGACACCCAAGTCGTGTTGTGTCGCTGTCTTCTTCTCCACCACCATTGAGGGCGCCAATGGCGACGGCGCCATCGCCAGTCCCAGCGGCAAGGTCGAGGTTGCGCAGCCACTCCCGGACTTGGCGCCGCGCGCCCTCGCGGACGCAAGGCCACCGCATGCCGGTATAATGGTTCGGCCTCCTCAAGGAAAGCAGCCGGCTCGGTTGACTGAGCCGCCAAGGCCCGGAGTTGCGCCGCCAAGTTCATCATCTTCTTCGAGATCTCGGCAAGACCTTCGCTAATGTTGGGAACCGCAGTGATCTCGGCACCCATGGGCACAGAACCGAAGCTCTGATACCAAGTTGTCACGAACAAGGAATACGGTCCTGAACCTAAACGGCGCGACGCTCTCCGTCGCACTGAGAAGGCAGGCCGATGGGCACTAAGATAAATATTGATCTAATGCCTAACTGACCTGGGATAGGATCCCTCCTTATATAGATGGAGGGCTACTTAATCTAATCCTAACAAACCTTATCTAATCCTAACAAACCCTAATTCTATCTCATGGGCCTAGGACTCCCGGCCCAAAGCCCATGACATTAATTAGTGTGAGTTTCATCCCGCGATGTTCTAAATTGAGCCCCTTTCATCAAGTGTAATTCCAACAGTGCTGTTGTTGTGGAGCTCGACATGGCCAAATGATGCTTACAGGAAGAGGCACATGTCTGCATCAATGTTTCAGAATTGTCAAATGCCACATGGTCATACAGGTGAACACCTTTTCCCGCATTACCATAGTCATGGCAAGGCAACTGTTAGAAATTCTGATTACTAGACAAATATGAGCACTTCATTGATTACGTTTCTCAAGAAATAGAGAAGCCAGTTGGTTAAAGTTGTTTTTGAACATTCAGTTGACCAAAGTTCAATATGCAGAATTTCCATGGAAACAGAACTGAATATGATGGATTCGCATTGAACTCCACTATATAAAGTCCAGCCAATTTGCTTGTTCGCTTAGTTCAGTGCATCTATAGATGCAGATAGAGAAAAAAGAGAGAGGACGTAGTTCCCACCAGGCATAGTTCAGTGCATCGATAGCTGCGGACAGAAAAAAAAACACAAAAAAAGAAGAGAGGATGTAGTTCTCACCAGGCACTATGTTCACACAAGCAGCAAGCTTCTCACTTATAATGCTCCCAGCTAGCCTCTTTCCTGTATAAAAAAATGAGAAAGGCAATCATCTAATGCTGCTAAAGAAAAAGATCAAACTTATCAAAATAATATAGTTATGAGTACAGCTAGGACCGCTGAGTAGCATAATAGAAGCTATTCTTGAATGGAAGCTACTAAAATAGTCAATGGGGTGAGGAAATAATCTCTACTTTGTTCAGCACAGGTGTTGACAACTTGTTTGCTCAAGTCGACAAGCACGATCGAGACACCTAAATGCCTTGCGGTGATATGGAGTCGTCAAACACCTTGATCTAGACAAAGCTAAACCAAGATGGGTTTTGCAAGATTAAACAGGCTAGCGGAGCCAATTTAGATGAAACAAGGATAAACACCCGTCTTGTGGGCGAACAGGGTTTACGGGCCGAACCTACAGAGGGATTTCGCACTCTCACAGCGAAGGTGGGCGATTTACTGCGCAAATCGACAAAGATGAACAAAACTAGGCTAGAACTAAGCAAAAAAGTAGACATGATATTGAAAAAGTGATTCAATTGGCTAATTGTGTTCAAAGTAGATTGTGTGTTCAATTGAACCGGCCTTGGTCTTGTTCCTTATAAAGGGGTTGGTCTTGCCTCCTACAATCTCCTCCACATCAAACTCAGGGTAGAGACCAATTAGAACTTTAAAAATACCTCACCAAGCAAGGAAACCCAAGCAAGGAAACCCGAGACTTGGTGAAATTCAACTTGGAATCGGTCTGACCGGCCACACACCACCGGTAAGACCGACCCATAGGCAGCGGTCAGATCGGCTCTGTGAAGGAAACCAATCATTTCCAAATTTTGGCGATGTTTTCCTATTTCGAATCTAGGTGCCGAATTTGGGTGTTAACAACAGGTACAATTAAATGACAATAAAACACAGAGTAAATTTCACAAAACTACATACTTCCTCCATTTCACAATGTAAGTCATTCTAGCATTTCCCACATTCATATTGATGTTAATGAATCTAGATAGATATATATGTCTAGATTCATTAACATCACTATGAATGTGGGAAATGCTAGAATGACTTACATTGTGAAACGGAGGAAGTATATTTTAGCCAAATTATCATAAAACTATAGATTTGAGATGATGTATCACAAAATTACAGATTTAATTTTCTCACAGAACTGCAGATTTAAGGTGGACTATCACAAAACTACAAATTTAGTAACAAAGTTATCACAAAAGTACAGGTCTAGTGTCACATATAAACAATGTACCTGCTTCTTTATTAGGAACTGTCACATACACAACAATGGAAGGCACAGTGGTGGAAGTAGACTCCATTCGAGCAGAAGCTGAAGAGCTGAGACTTCTCACCCTGTAAAGTTCCCATACTGGTTATTTACCAGTCCAGAAAACAAATCCAAAGTGACTACATTACTTTGATGTAACTAGGCTGTAAATATAACACCACTCCCATCCTCCATCAAGGTAAAAAGAGTGAAGCACTTCGCATTTAAGCACAATCGGCACAATAGTTCCTATACATCACTTCTGTGAGCAACCAAGAACTCAAACCGTCCCCATTCATTTCGAATCATATGACCAAATCTTTGAATCCCATCGAATCCTATGAACAATAGTTAGCACCGGTCAAACTGCGGAATCCTCCTAGATTGATTGGAGAGGCGCGTTACCCTGCGAAGGCGCCGAGGCTGAGGAAGAGGAGAGCGCCGGCGATAGGGGCGCGGCGCCGGAGTAGGAGCGGCGAGAGCCCGGCAGCCGCGGCGGCGCGGCGTGGGGCGGCGGTGGCGGCGGCGGAGAGAGATCCGAGCGGGGAGGGGAGGAGTGGCATCTTCTGGGAGCTTCGGCCTACATGCATGGGAGTTGGGCCCGCTTCGGCCTTTGGATGTTTGGGCTTTTGGGCTGAGTTCGGTTGGGAAGATGGGAACCTACCGAATTTTTTTCGGTTTTAGATTTTTTTTAAAATATTTACAGAAATAATATATCGGCAAAAAAAATTTACAAAAATAGACCCTGCCGCCCACCTCTGGGGCGGCAAGCTGACGTGGCAAACGGGAGAGGAACGGGCGGTGACAGAGGGAGGGTTTTTTGCAGGAAAACCCTTGCCGCAGGGCGGCAAGGGGCCCGAATGCAAAAAAGCCAGTCGGGGCCGGCCATTTTGCAGGCGGCCCCTTGCCGCCCTCTGGCCGGGCGGCAGGCCTTGTTGCCTATAAAAGGCCTGCCGCTCAGCCCCCAGCCCTCATTCCTCCCCCCTCAAATCCAGTGAAAAAAAAACAAGAAGAGAGGGGAGGAGAAGAGAAGAAGGGACGAAGCCCTGTCGGATTCAGACGCCGATTTCAGGTAATATTCATAGATCCTATATGTGACTATTGAGTTAAATAGTGTGTATTTTTTAAAAATTTGTTTGAATAAATGCATTATATTTTTAGGGTTTTAGTTGTACTAATCTAGAAGTGCGTATTGTAGATATCGGTAACTACGTAGATCTGCTAGTTTGGAATCAATACATTACCGTTGCATTGGCTTACACAAGAAGATATTACGTTGTAGATGTTTATTGCATGAAAGAGTAATATGATCTAGTTATTTCGTTGACAGATATGTCGAATAAACAAATATTCCAAGTTTACCATGGACCAGGAAACGTCCGTTACGGGCCAACTGGGGTAGATCTGTCATATTTTATTGTATCAGAAAGGGGAATTGATAGACCGGCTGAGAGGAGTGTACCTTCTATAAAAGGATGGTTAATGAGGGGTTTGAGAGTTGATCCACAGACAAGTGACATAACAATCAATGTTATAGTAAGTCGGGCAACTGAGGGTTTTTATTGGGAACTAATGCCAGTTCAAAACTCTCGAGTGTGGAGATGGTATTTGGAAAATGCATTGCAACGCGGGTGGCCTCTAGCTTTGGTTCCGTTTGTTCACCCGAAGGATCCAGGTGGGCAGATGAACATGGATGATGGCGAGGGACCAAGTGCTAAAGTAAATGAGACTTCTGTGGAGGAGGTCAACGCACGAGAGGACGGGGGCGTAGTAGCTCCATGTCACGACCGGAAATAACCCAACGGGCGTTCCTTACGTGCGTGTATTATTCCTTGTCCCAGGAGGCAAGGTACACCAAAAGTTGATACAATACAGAGTTTAACAAGCGGAAGCGTAAATAGTTAATTTATTACATGGGCGGCGAAGGCCCAGCACACATGAAGACAAACGAAAAACAGCGGAAGACTAGGGCGACGACCACAGGCGCTTGACGGCAGGCACGAGCTAGACACCAAAGCCTTCATCTTCCAGGAACTCCTCTTCTGGGTTTGGGAAAAATTGAGCAAGACTGAGTACAACCACCGTACTCAACAAGACACACCCACAAGTGCAGAATAAATGCAAGGGAGTACAAGGGAGTTATAATATAGGGGGTTAGGGTTTGCAGTAAACAGCATTAAAAGGCACTTAGTTGCTCAAGCTATTTGGTAAACACGATCCTAGAGCTATACAAGATTATTAATCAAGGCCGTGAACCCACACGAACCTGCCTTAACCCAAGGCCTACGATGATTCAGACCGAACTGGCAACCAAACCCAGGTCCCAGCTCGTCCCAAGCCAACCCAGGCCAACCATTCCATATTTTAGTTGTTAAGCAGGTTTTAAGAATTTAAAACACTAACTTGGGTACATTGCTAGGCTTGCCCATAACCGAGGGCGCGGCTATTCGAATAGGTTATACTCTGATCAGAGGTGTACATCTTTACTCACAAGACATCTTCCTCACGTGTAACCACGTGCCACATACCACCACGGTATACGGACGAAAGACGTGACATAGTTCCCAACCCATCCTAGCCATAGACAAGAGTACCGACCCAGCCCCACCTACGGCCGGAACCTCCGGGACAGGTAGGCAGGACCGAGCCCCTAGCAGCAGGACGCCAGCCCTGTGCCATGACATCTCGACTACCGGGCCGCAGCTCGTGTAGCCTTCATTTGTCCTAGAGATGTCCATCGACCCCCGACTTCGTCCATCTCCATCCGTGTACTTTTGTTTATAACCAGACTGAGCCACAAACTAAGCCTTACCCACTAGACATGTGGAAGTACGGTAGTGCTTTGCAACAGAGGCCCGAAGACCGGTCCTTATGTGGCCGAGGTGCTACTATCAAAACCGTGCACCGCGAGCCCAGCCTAAAACCATTTTGAGGGTTTTGAATAGAGGGGGAGGTGTGAATCCAATTCCACAATAATCCAACCATTCCACAATGTCCAAGTGATATGAATATTCCCAAAGTCTAGAGTTATAAAACCACCTAATGTTGCCTAATTAAACAGCGAAGCATCTACCTAAATTCCTACTAGTGGTACCATAAATAGAGTACCCACTAGTTGGGGTTTTGTTTATTCTAGGGTGAACAAGGTAATAATAACAATAACAATAATAATAAGGTCATAACAAAGGTAAATAGGCATGGCTAAATAAAACAGTGATAACACGGGAATTTAAATAAAGCGATAATGCAATAATTTAAATCAAAATAATTTTATAAACTGGGATTCAATATGCTCAAGGATGATGTGACTTGCCTTAGTCGCTTTCCCAAACGTCGGCTTCAACCTCCACGTAGAGCGGATCTTCCGAAGCTGCAGCGTCTACACGACCAACGGAAAGGAAAAAGGCTTTTACTCTAATAAACTCCATATAACAAGCAGGAACAAAGCACAAAAATGGGTTCTTGACTTCTTGAGGAAAAATTAGAGACTTGAACGGTCCAATTCTGAGTTCAAATGGCTAAGTTATGGCCATTTGAAGTTTATATGTTCTTTAAGTGAATATTTGCGAATTTCTTCATTTAAATTTTAATTTAAAAAGGATTTATTGCGTCAGCCGAGGGGAGGGGGCGCGCGGACCGGGTCCACGGGAGTGGGGCCCACGCGGCAGCCTCACGGTCCACGGTGGACTGGCGCACCCGGGCTCACACCGGCCGGCGCCGTGGGCCCCACGCGTCAGCCGCACCCGAGGGCGCGGGCGGCTGACGGCTGGGCCCCACGCGGCGGCCACACGGCTCGCCCGGAGGCGGCCACCACGGTGCAGCCGGCGGGAGGCGGCGCCCGCGCCCCTATGGTCGCCGGCGGCGGCCATAGGAACAGCGGAGCGGCGGCCAAGAAAGGGGAAGGGAAGGGGGAAAAGAGGCGGCGGTCCACGGCTCACCCCGGGTCGACGGCGACGACAAAGGAGGCGGCCGGAGCGGAGGAAGGCGGCGGCGCGACTCGGGTGGATGGGGACGACGGCGCTCCGGCGGTCGGCGAGCTCGGCGAGGTGGTGGACGGGGTCGGCGACGATGCGGCGAAGCCGGAGAAGGCGACGCCGAGGCGGGAGACGGTCCTGGCGAGCGGAGAGGGCCGGCCGGAGGTCGTCGGCGACGGAGGAGAGAGAGGGCGACGGCGCGAACTCGATTCCGACGGGGAGACGGTGCGGCAAGTGGCGGAAACGGGCGAGGGAGGCGCAGGGAGGGTTTAAATAGGATTGGGAGGGAGAGAGGGCGGCCGGCGGGGAAGGAAACCAGCGCGGGAGGTCCGGCCGTCATCAATGGCACCGGCGAGATTTGCGGGAGCAAATCCGGCCGTTTGAATGCGAGAGGGAGAGGGAAAAATGGGGGGAAAGGGGGAGGGGATCACGGGGAATAATTCCCCCCACTTAATTGCACACGGGGGCGGCGGGATGCGGCGGATTCGGCGGCGGCAGCGGCGCTTGGCGCGGGCGGGGCGGCGGAAGCAGCAGGAGGACAGGGATGACGGGTGGGCCCCACCCGTCTGAGGGTGGCGGGCGGGCCCGCCTGTCAGCGGCGTGCGCGCGGGGAGAGGCCGAATGGGCCGCGGGGGAGAGGAGAGAGGGAGGAAGGGAGATGGGCCGGATTCGGCCCATCCGAGGGGAGAGAGATTTTTAGGGTTTTTCTTTTTATAAAACCTTTTCAACTTTGTTTATTTCTTCTTAATTATTATTTGTGCTCTGAAAATTCCACTAAAATTTATTTACACATTTTAGGATTTTAGGAATTATACAAAAATCCTCCAAGCCTTATTTGACTTTTAACTTTGAACATTTTAATTTTTGGAGGCTTTCACAAGGATTTTAATTATTCTAGGCAGAATTTTGAAGGATATATTTTAGGGTCGTTTTGGGACGTGACACTCCAGTGGGCATTCAACCAGGTGGAGTGGCCGACGAGGGGGAGACTGTCGGTGCCATTGTGGATGAAATGGAGAGGGAGGATTCTGACAACGAGCGTGTAGAGGAAGGTGATTCGTCAGATGATGAGACGGATATTAATCCTGCAGAATGGGCTAGTGAGGATTTTTCTGGGCTGATCGTCTCTGAAGAGGATAGTGTGAGATGGGAGTACAAAGAAAATGAGGTTATTCAGGGAGCGATTTATAGTAGAGCAGAAGATATGAAGGAGGCGGTAAAACATTTTGCAGTGTCACTTCATAGAGAGTTTTGGGTTGCCAAGTCGAATCGGTCGCAATATGAAGTTCGGTGTGTTAAGGAAAAAGATGGTTGTCCCTGGAGAGTGCACGCGTATAAGGGGAAATGGAAGGATTATTGGACAGTGTCAGTCGTTACCAAGCATACATGTTTTCTACCTGGTGTTCAGAAATACCACAGGAACATTACATGTGCATTTGTTGCATCTGAGATGTATGCGCATGTCATCGATAATCTCACATATGAACCAAGGTCAATAATCCGACACATCAAAGAGACATACAAGTATACTATTAGCTATGCCAAGGCCTGGAGGGCCAAACAGAAAATAATAGAGATGAGATTTAGAACTTACGAAGCCTCGTATGACAATTTGCCACGCCTGTTTGGTGTTATCGAGGAAAGAAACCCTGGGAGCTCTTACGAAGTGAAGAAATTCCCCTCAATTGAACATCCTGGCAAGAGTGTGCTGCAAAGGGCGTTCTTAGCTCTACATGCATGCAAGATGGCATTCGTGAATTGTCGTCCTGTTCTCTGCATTGATGGGACATTCTTGACAGGAAAGTATCGGGGCCAGATACTAACAGCAATAGGGGTAGATAGGAACAATCAGGTATTGCCCTTGGCATTTGCTTTTGTTGAGAGTGAGAATACCGACAGCTGGTACTGGTTCCTGAAATTGGTTAAAACAAAAGTTGTTGGTATGAGGCCAAATGTGTGCCTGATACATGATAGGCACGCTGGCATTCTGCGAGTGATAGAAGAGTTGCAGTTTGGGAGTATGGAACGAGGATACCCTGGTGTTTGGGAAGATGTACAGAGTAGGTGGTGCATGCGTCATATGGGAGCTAATTTCTTCAAGCAATTCAAGAACAAGGAGCTCATGAACATGTTCAAGAGGCTGTGCAATCAGAACCAGGAGAAAAAATTCAATGAGCTTTGGAAGAGATTAGATGAGTTGACAGCCAAATGCAGTGATCAGTGTGCAGCGGCTCCATCGACCGCCGTTGCTGACCCTCCTCAAGCTCTTGGACCTCTCCCAACGGATAGTCCAACATTGGTTAGAAGAACTGGATTGGAGATTCGGAAATTTTCTAAGTGGATTCTGCATGAACCAAAAGAGAAATGGGCCAAGGCGTATGACACGGGTGGTGCTAGATATGGAATAATGACAACAAATTTGGCAGAAGTTTACAACTGGGTGATGCGCGGTGTCCGTGGACTGCCACTAGTTGGCATAGTGGAGTTCATTTTACATGGGACATGCGGGTATTTTAGGGATCGGTTCCAGGCAGTTCTTCCCTCTATGCCGAACAACAGCATTTTGTTTGGAACTTTCATGCAAAAAAAGCTAGAGGAGTTGCGTAAAAAGGCCATGAAACATCGAGCTCTAGTGCAAGGTACCCAACAGCACAGGTTTGAGATACTATGTCAAGATAAGGTAGGCAGGGGTATCTACCGCAAGAGAGTGAAGCAGGAGTGTGTTCTCAAAGCCGACGGCACATGTCATTGCTCTTGTGCAAAGCCGAAGCTGCTCCACAGGCCATGCACCCATGTCATTGCTGCCGCAGCGGAGTGTGGCATACCAGATGCAGTATATGTGTCACAGTACTTCAGTAAGCAAGCAATATATCATACATGGAGCGGCGAGATTTATGGGTTCGGCATAGCTGGGGAGTTCACAGAGACTAACAATGAAGTACTCAATATTCCTGACCCATCGAAGCTCCGAGGCAAGGCTGGAAGGAGGAGGACTCGTCGCATCCGCAACGATATGGACGAGTCGGAGGCTGGCAGGGTGAAGCATTGCAGCAAATGCGATGAACATGGGCACACCTACAAGCATTGTCCTAAAGACAAGGAGAAACCAGGTGCGGCGGAGGCAGGACTATCAGGATCAGCAGCAGATGGAGCTCGCCCTACGGGTGAAGGCACTACCTCCACTCGACCACGTCCTAGGCGTCGTCGTGCCACGTCTGGCTACGTGGTGTAGTTCTTATATTCTATGTTGGCATGTGGCTTTGCTTGTAATTCGTTTCGAACTTATCTATGTGTTTATGTTTCGTCGTGTAATACCCTAGTCCAGTTAGTGTAAATTGGATCTGTACCGGTGTGCGCGAGTCAACAATGGATTAGCGTAGATTGGATCTATGCCAATGTGCGTGGGTCAACAATGGAGTAGCCGACGACGTGTATGAATGAGAGAGTGCCTCGGCGTGCATGCTAGGTTATGGGGATGCCCCGATCTCGGGACCCCTATCCCCTCTTATATAGGATGAGGGGATCTCCCTAGTCTATCTATCAAAGATATGCATGATCCTCACGATTTATATTTTATCCTCTCTTACTTAATTTACAAAATAATCGCATGGGTGTAGGGCTCTTGGCCCACCCTACGTCACATTATAGTTGGCCAAATGGGCTGCCCGGCACGGCACTGCCCATGCCCGGCCATGCCTTGGCGGAGGTTAGTCGGGCCAGCACGGCCTGACCGACACGTCGGGCCATGCCGGGCTAGCCCACAGGCTGCATACACGGCTCAAGAACGGCCCAATACGACTTGGGCCGTGCCGGGCCAGTCCGAAGGCACGATAACCTATCGTGCTTCTCCACAAAATAAGTATATTTTTCATCCCTCAACTCTATGGGCAGTGTTGATATGGCTCGAAAATAAGTCTATTTTGTATTCCTCTTCTCTTTGGGCCTTGCTTTATATGGTTATTTAAGTCTATTTTGCTTCCCTATACTATTTTTCATCGATCGCGCCGTGCCAGGCCGGTCCACCGTACTGAGGGTGAAGCCCAGGCATGGCCCGGCTGTCGGACCGTGCCATGGTTGGGCCGGGCCAAAATGGCGTACCTTGGGCCGGGCCACGGGCCTCGGGCAATATGGCCATCTATATGTCACATAGCCCAAAGGTCTCTTCATGGGTACCGCGGGTGTTATATATATATACTCCGCATACCTAAAGGTTCTAGAGAGAGTAATAATTTATGAGAGTAGCTATATTTATGACGTTATATTTTTCACCAAAAAATAGACGGCATGTATTTACATTGTAAGTACCTAAGTTCCATATGTAATTTTAGTGTATTTACAATAGAAGTCCCAAAATTACTTATGTAAGTCCTAAAATTACATATGTAAATCCCAAACTTACACTAGTGGAGAAACCATCTTTACTCCCGGTTGGGAACTCCCCTTTAGTCCCGGTTTTCCAACCGGGAGTAAGGATCCGAGACTAAAGATGTCCATCTTTAGACCCGGTTGAAATAACCGGGACTAAAGATGCATCTTTAGTCCCGGTTGGTGTTACCAACTGGGACTAAAGAGACAATAACGACAGTACTAGATGGTCCCCTTTTTCTTTTCTTTTTTTTCTTTTTATTTTCTCCGAATCAAGTAGGCAAATCCCCAAATCAATCCTCAAATCCCCAAATCAAAGTAACATCCCAAATTCACATCACCAAATCCACATCATAAATCATAAAGTTACTTATAAACACAAATCAAATACATCACAAAATCCTAAAAAATTACTCAAATACATCACAGATCCAAACAATGAATCACAAATTTGTACATCTCAGTGAATCACAAATTAAAAAAAAACGAAAAAACGATGTTGTTGTCGCCGCTCGCCACGACCGCCGGACGCGGCTGCCGCCGCCCGCCGGCCACCGCCGGCCGCGGCCTCGACACCCACCGGCCCGCCGGATGAGAAGGGAAGAGGGGGAGGAGGTGGAGGAGAGGGGATGAGGAAGAGAGTTAGAGAGGAGAGATCTGTGGAGAGGGGGAGAAATTCGATCCGCTAAGTTGTAATTGTGGAGGAGAGGATAAGGGATAGGGATTATATACTACGTGTTCAATTTTAATCACGGTTAGTATTACCAACCGGGACTAAAGATCTATCTAGAAGATCTTTAGTCCTTGGTGATCTTTAGTCCCGGTTATTGACACCAACCGGGACTAAAGATTCTCGGCCCCCTGACATGCATCTGATAGGGGATGAACTGGGACTAAAGATCATCTTTAGTCCCGTACTAAGGATCAAAATTTTTATAACCGGGACTAAAAATAATCTTTAGTCCCGGTTCTTTTTGGAACTGGGACTATTGTGGATTTTGCCAGACCGACCAAAGATGGTTCCTCCACCAGTGTTACATACTAATTACATATTAAGTGGTGTGTAAGTGGGATGTAACTACTGTGTAAATTTGTAAATATATAAATAACTACCCGCTGCATACACATACATGCAAGTGTGAACTCAGAAAAGCAGCGGGCAGCATATCCAATTGCCATAAAACTGACTGCTATGGAGCCAAAAAACTGGCGACAAAAATATAGTAAAACCGTAATTTATTAGTCCCACAAACTCACTCTACTTGCACAAAATGATACTTATCACACATCGTACCCAATATTCTCAAGTGCAACAAGACAAGCTTTGTACGATAGCAGCAGCAGAGATCTGTGATTGGCAGCTGCTAGCTCCCAAGATCCTGTTGCAGCGACAGAGAGATCCACAAACTCACTCTACTTGCACCACATGATACTTATCACAATTCACACATCGTACCAAACATTCTCAAGTGCACCAAGACAAGCTTTGTACAATAGCAGCAGCAGCAGCAGAGATCAGTGATTAGGCTTTAAATCACTGATCAAGATGAGTGGCGCAACGGCGGACTGGGCATGGTGGCTCGGCCTCGTCGCCGGCGCCGTCCCGCTGCTCGCCCTCGCCGTCTGGCACTGCACCGACGCCTTCCACAGCGCCGCCTTCGCGTTCCGCCGCCGCGGGACACGCGCGAGGCTCCCCCCGGGCCACATGGGCCTGCCGTTCGTCGGCGAGACCCTCGCCCTGATCTGGTACTTCAACCTCGCCCGCCGCCCCGACGCCTTCATCGAGGCCAAGAGGCGGCGCTACTGCTACGGCGACGGCGACGACGACGGCGGCATCTACCGGACGCACCTGTTCGGCTCGCCCGCGGTGCTCGTCTGCTCGCCGGCGTCCAACGGGTTCGTGTTCCGGTCGGCGCCGCCCGGCAGCTTCGGCGTCGGGTGGCCGGTGCCGGAGCTCGTCGGCGCCTCGTCCCTGGTGAACGTGCACGGCGGCCGGCACGCCAGGCTGCGCAGGTTCGTCCTCGGCGCCATCAACAGGCCGGGCTCACTCCGGACCATCGCGCGGGTGGCGCAGCCGCGCGTGGCGGCGGCGCTGCGGTCGTGGGCGGCCAAGGGCACCATCACCGCCGCCACCGAGATGAAGAATGTAAGGCGCCGTCTTAATTTGTCAACTGAGAATTCACTGGGTTTGTGTAGGTGTAGCACCTACTAGTATTTAAAGAAAAGATTTTACAACTACATGCAAATTATCATGATTTTTTTAAAAAATATGGATATCTATCGCACTACAAAATTTCAATTTAAAATATAGCTCCTGTAAAGAGAAACGAAGAATAAAAATCCCAACAAGTAGTAAAATGAGGCCTGTTAGTAGTTTAGGGATTAAGTTCTCCGGTCAAATAGTTATAAAAACTACAATTAACAATTTCCAGGATAAAAAAATCTTAGAGCTCCACTACAGTGCTCTCTACTAGTAGTAGAAAACAATCTAAACCATTGATCTTATTTTATCGAATGGTTTAAATCTATTTATACCGCCATCCTAGTAACGGCAGTAAAAATGTGGAGAGACATTATTGAAAAAAATAGGTGCTGGAGGGGTATAATATCATTTAGCTTTGACTAAACTCTTTTTTCTTTCTTTTTTTGGCTTTTTTGATGGAATATGAGCGATATCAACCCAATGTAGGACCACATAACAATTTACCTGAAAAAATAAATAACAAAGTTACCCCTAATCACTGTATTAGTAAATTATTGATTTACCCTTAAATAGTACTACTAGTATTATACTACCATTAGAGAGCACCAGATCATTGCTCAAAATCATAAATACATCTCGTTCATCTCCTATGAACATGAATGTATATGCTTCTTGGATCAGGTGACGTTTGAGAATATATGCAAGATATTCGTGAGTATGGAGCCGTCGCCTCTAACCGAAAAGATCCACGGATGGTTCACCGGTTTGGTTGCTGGGTTCAGGTCGTTACCACTGGACATGCCAGGAACAGCGCTCCACCACGCTCGAAAGGTGATCTCTTTTGATGTTCCCTTTTCTCTCTTTGCTTGGATTTAACAAGGCCAGATTTCCTATGCCGGCACACATCTGCACACCATGCAGTGCCGGAGAAAGCTGAACTCGGTGTTCAGGGAGGAGCTCGAGAGGAGGAAGGTGAAGATGGTGACCGGAGAAGGAGGCGACGACGACGACGACGGTGACCTGATGAGCGGGCTGATGCACGTGGAGGATGAGCAAGGTAGACGACTCGACGACGATGAGGTCGTGGATAACATAGTCTCCCTTGTCATCGCGGGCTATGAGTCAACTGCTAGTGCCATCATGTGGGCGACCTACCATCTCGCAAAATCGCCCAGTGCCCTTGCCAAGCTAAGAGTAAGCCAATAATTTACTATAGTATATTTCTCTAAAAGTGCTTTCAAGTCTCAAATGGCTCTCACACATGAACAGATCGATCCCATATCTGGCATGTTGCTGTCCGATGAGCATTCCTACATATGAATGGATCACTTGATCACCTGTGCCATGGCCAGAGGCCTAGGATTGGCAGCCCATTAGTATGGAGAATTTTTAACCATATAATCACCATGTAAATCCCAACTCTCTATGGGCCGACCCAAGCCTTGGGCCAATCCTGGTCTGCCCTTAGATCGATCCCATAACTGGTATGCTTGCTCTCCAATGAGCCCTCTCATCAGTGGCAGATTCAAAAAATTTCTTGAACCTGGACAAGTCTAACGAGATAAAAGCATATACAAAATCTATTTAACTATATATAAATTTTGTAGACTAAAACCAACCTGAGAGGTTAGATGGATTAATGTATCCTGGGCTAGACAAGTATATTTAACTATACAAAAATTTTGTCCTTAATAATTGCCATGTGTTAGCCTAGCAGGATTTGTACTAGTGTAGCAGGCGGAGCCTGAGCACCTGCCCATGATGATCGACCATGGCTTCATCCCTGCCTCTCATCATGCAAACAAACAAATTATGTGAGTTGACATGGAGTTGGAATGAAGAGATGGAGAAAGTGGACGCTAGCAAAATTACAAAAAAAAATATGAGTTTTTAGGAGGTTGGGGCTAGGAGGGAGGGGAAGGAAGCATCAAAGAAGGTGAAAGAAAAGGTGAGATATGTTAGGACTTAGGAGGTGGTCAGGAGTGTCGTGGACGCTGTTAACATCCAAATTTAGCTCCTAGATTAAAAGTAGGAAAACATAGTCGAATTTGAAAAGGACTGTGTTTCCTTCATGGGTCCGGACTGACATCCGCCTTTGGGTCAGTCTAACTAATGGTGTGGGACCGATCTGACCAGTGGTATGTGGCTGGTATGACTGGCGGCATATGGCCGGTCTGACCGGCTAAGTCCGATACGAGTCCAATTTCACCAAGTTTCGGGTTTTCTTACTTCTGCTAAGGGTTTTCAAGTTCTAATTGGTCTCTGCTATCTCGAGTAAGACATGGAGAATGCATTATAGGAGGTAAGACCAACCCTTTATAAAGGCTATGGCTGGTTCAGTTGAGCACATTATCTATGACAATCTACTTAACACAATTAGCCAATTGAATATCTTTTTCAATATCGTATTTACTTTTTACCTGGTTCTAGCCTAGTTTCGTCTATCTTTATCGATTTGCTCCGTAAATCATCTGCCTTCGTTTCAAGTGCGAATCCCTTTTTAGGTTTGTCTTGTAAACCTTCCATTCTGCTCACGAGATGGGTGTTTATCTCTCTTCTGTCTAAATCAGCTCCATTAGCCAGCTTTGATCTTCAAAACCCATCTTGGTTTGGATTTGTTTAGATTGAGGTGGTAGGCGACTCCTTATTACTGAAAAGAATTAGGTGTTTTCGATCGTGTTTGACGGCATGAACAAAAAAAAAGTTATCAATAGATGCATGCACTTAAAAGGAGAGATGGATAGGGATCGATCAGCCTCATCGACAAAATGTATGAGGAGGACGTATAATAGGAAGAAGAAATATTAGAACAATTGGAGAGAAAAATGGGATATGGGAACGGTTTATTCAATTTCTTTCACCATCCAAAATGATTGTTAAAACTAAAATCCACATTGAAAACTAGTCTAGAAAATCTGTTTGAGTGATCAGCTCCTCTCTGCTTCCGGCCAGCCATCAGGGAAAAGCATACCCGCAGGTTAGGCTACAAATCCACAGCTTGAATTGCTTTTGATGTCCTAGATGGAATGTACCTACGATAAAGCGCTACGATGGACTTGAGTACTGTTGCTACATAGTGTTTTGTGCCCTACCCTTATTTTTTGATTTAAGTTATAGATTTTACTTTTATTTCCGTTAGCACACTTTTCAAACTGTTAAACGGTACATTTTGTACGAAAATTCTCTATATAGAAGTTGCTTTGAAATATCATATAAATAAATCAAAATTTTATGTTTTAAAAAACTCAATTAATTATGTGTTAATAGCATTTTCATTTTACGTACCCATACTTGATCTTTTATCTTCATAGACTCAAATGGGCCTTAACAAATATCCATGTAAACGTACTACAAGGACACACTTGTCGGTGTGCACCAAAGTCTCCTACAACATATAATGTCAGGGCTGCAGGTGTGTTTTTGGATGGAGCTATGTGCGATGTGAGCAAGAAGGAACTGAGTTAGAAATTTTAATTTATCCCCTCCTAACTTGCAAATGGTAATATTAATATTGCAGGAGAGGATAAGAGGAGCTAAGCTAACACTAGCGAAAAAAGTGTGCATTAGTGATAATTCACTCAAAGTGTGCATTCCCAATTCATAAGATTTCTATGGTCTAATTATGGATAAACCACTGCTGAGAAACCCATCTTTAGTCCCAGTTGAGCAGCTTATGAACTATTTGAACCGGGACAAAAGTGATTTTTAGTAAAGATCAATTCTCTTGTAGTGCGCTAAAAACTCTCACACGCGTGTATGCCTACATGTATATAGCCTACACGATCGATACAAAAGTACTGTATGTGACTTGCTACATGACTTACTACAGGAGGAAAATTTGGCCATAGCCAAAGAGAAAAATGGTGATGGTTTTATCACTCTCGAGGATGTCTCCAAGATGAAGTACACTGCCAAGGTTTATGCAGTAAATTAGTAAAAGATGCTTAATTCATGAACACGTGATTATTCCATATAAACATATTCAGTCGAGCATATATGCAGGTAGTAGAAGAAACAATCCGATTGGCCAACATAGCTCCGATGGCTCACCGCGTGGCACTCAGAGATGTTGAGTACCGAGGTGGGTATCGTTATATCATATACTTTGGTCATAATTTTTTAGAGGAACTTTGATAATCACTAATATAAAAGTGAGCACATAAAAATAAATGAACAAAAAATATTAATTACAGATGGTTTGTTTTCCCAAATACTTTTGTTTTTTTAATGTAATGGAAGAATTTGTATGCATATACAATGTCTGCATAATATGCAATTTGCATGGTATTTGCCAATATGTTGGTATCTTGGTATAACATGCAGGCAATAGCAAACTGATCAACGGATTAAACCAAATAATCATATCAATAGGAAAATAACATTGATGTTGGTATATACACATGCAGGGTATACAATCCCAAAAGGGTGGAAAGTTATTGTGTGGATCCGATCACTACATGTCGACCCAGCATACTACGACAATCCGTTAAGTTTCAACCCGGATAGATGGGATGTAAGTTATTGGTTCGAAACTACTTATTATATATATGTCTCTACACCAAACATGCAATGCTGAAAAAACTTCTCTATACATTGGCCCTCTCTTTGGAATGCTGAAAAAACTGAACATAGCTTTAAATGCGACATGAGCTTTTAATCTGAGTAAAAAGATCAACTGCTGGAGTGCCAGCTGCTGCAGAGATCGTCATGAATCTAAAAAATAATTCTTGAAAACGCATAATAATTGTGCTTCATTTCATTAAAAAAGATATATATTTGCAAAGAGAAAAATTCTTGAAAACGCATGATAATTATGCTTCACTTAATTGCAAAAAGAGAAATATTTGCAAAGAAAGAGGTCAAGGAACCTCTTCCAACGAGGCTAGCATCACACATAACTGAGAGGGCCAAGTGCCCAACCAACACAAACCTTCTAAGACTAACTCACTAAGCAATTTATCTCAACAAAATATTAACCAGTACACATTTTGTTATAGTAATTATTTCGTATGTATACGAGTAGAGCTCATCTGAATGGGGAATGAGAACATTGGGAAGACAAACAATACAATCACACACACACATATATACGTTGGTGCTTTAAATTTTGATAGATACAAATTTAAAAATAAAGCCTCTAGACATATATAGGGCATATACTTGAGGTTATTAACCCATATATAGATCATTGTTTTTTTTAGAGCAGATCAAACATTAATTTGACCCGGTTTTTTGGAGAAAGCCGAAAGAGGGATACAGAGTCTTGAAATACAAGAAAAAAGGACACGACACACAAAACAAAAAGTAATTTCTGGGGACTCCAGCTACATATAATGCCCACAACCCAGACAGATTCGCACAAGCACAGGTTCCACCCCCTCAGACTTGATAGGCACAAAAGACAATGCCCAACAGACACTAAAGATCTACAGGCAGCATAGTTGGCCTCACTTGCTTTAGTTTGTCCAGTATAGCTTCAAGCCAATCCTCGAGCGCCTTTCGCTCTTCTTCCTTTAGGAACACCTTCCACTTCTGGGCAAACGAGATTGACCTGTAAACAACCTGTAGAGGAGATGAAACAAAAGCATCCTTAAAAACCCAATCATTTTGAGTCAACCAAAGAGCCCAACAAACACTAGCTAAAAGCACCATCCAAGCATTCTTCTTCCTCCTGTCCCAAATTATCCCAGTGCACTCCTAGAAGGAGATAGGTTTATTGCTCAGAAACAAAGCTTCCTTAATTACACACCAGGTAAACACAGCAAAAGGACAGCCATACATACAAGATATTATTAGTTGTTTCTTTGCTCTTGCAAAGTTTGCAAAGCTCATCCCCACCCCTCCAATTTCTTTTGACTAACTGAGAAGCACAAGGAAGTTTTCCTCTCCCAACAAGGTAAAGGAAATGTTTTATTTTTAGAGGAATCTTGCCCTTCCAAATAGACCACATTTCAGTATCTTTAACCCTCCCCCCCTCCCAAAAAAAAAGTTAACAGCTTATACATAGATTTAGCAATAAAAGACTTATGTTTTGTGTAAGGTCGGATTACTTCATCCCTATCCCCATCAAGCTAGACATATTGGAGAATATTCTTCATATCATTCAGTTCCACCTCTCTTTCTGATTTCAGGTTCCTTCTAAAAACCAGATTCCAGTCGCCATTAGCCCACATCTCCATGACAGTAGCTTTTTGCTGCAAACTAACCTCATATAACATGTGAAAAGTCACTTTCAAAGGAGCATCACCATACCAAACATCACCCCAGAAGTCCACACCACTGCCTTCATGTACTTTGTTTTGCACCAATCTTTGCAGGTGTTTTTTTGTATTGATGCAAACTTTTCCAAAATTGAGAGCCCCCCGCCTCTGAACTCTAGAAAAAGCTCCATTTTCCAGTTTCATAACCCACTTGCTAAGGAGACTGATGTTCATAATTCTAGTATCTAAAAAACCCATCCCCCTAAAATCTTTTGGTCTACACAAAGCTTCCCACTTAATCATGTGGTATTTTTTCTTCTCCCCCACCCCTTGGCAGTAGAATATGCTTCTAGCAGAATCCATTTTGGAATGAAAACCCTCAGGAAGAAGGTAGAACCCCATAGCATACATTGGAGCACTGGACATACATGAATTAATTTTAATCTCTCTGCCCCCATAAGATAAATACCCACTTTTCCATGATTTCATTCTCTTCTCCACTCTTTGAATGATCTGATAAAAGTCTTTCATGGTGATCTTTTCCACACTCATTGGCAACCCTAAGTAAGTAAAAGGCATCTCCCCCACCTTACAATTCATCATGTTAGCCACTCTTAATTCTCCTCTTCACTCACTCCCAGCACATACATCTCACATTTTTTATAGTTTATTTTCATTCCCAAGGGTTCTTTTAGCAAAGCAGTTTATTATTTTCTTTTGAACATGTGTGTCGATCACTCGATATGCAGTTTATTACACATAAGTGCATTAATTGATCAGAAATCAGCGGAGCTAGGCACGTACCAGGTGTTCGGTGGCGGCGAGAGGATCTGCGCCGGCAACATGCTGGCAAGGCTGCAGCTCACCATCATGCTCCATCATCTCTCTTGTGGTTACAAGTATTTACTAAACTTCCATACCTTAATTAACATTACATGTGTACAATTTATTATTCTTAGTGTTAACTCACCTTCTGTTCTTTTTTTTCCTTCACTGGCTCAATTTATCTCTTCTAGATGGGAGTTGCTGAATCCTGACGCAGGGATTGTTTACCTTCCGCACCCAAGGCCAACAGATGGGGCAGTGATGTCCTTCAGTGAACTCTGATGGCAGCTATATCATTCAGACATAGAATAAAGTCACCAGTACATTCTGTGGCTTAAGAACTTCAGAGTTCATATATACTATTGCTAGGTGCAAGACTGATTAAGAAAAAGCTGAGAAGCAACAATGCATGATATGTATCACACCAAGCTGAGTTTCTTTAAATGTGTTATTCAGTTGTTGTTCCACATGTTTTGTATATACGTAAATAAACTCTACCAAGAATTCCTGTCTATTAATAAATTGTGAGCTTTTGTGAGTTGAGGAATTTCTGTCTATTAATAAATTATGAGTTTTTGAGTTGAGGAGGAGCCGAAGTTGCTTAGCCGGGTATAACAAGCTCATCAACGATAACCCCTCAAGTAGCGCAGTTCACCATGGGTGGATGAGCAGTGTTTGCTCCTCTAATGTGGTGTCATCTTGTGTTGTGGCGAAGTTGAGCTGTTGTGCCAGGTGATGAGCTAGGCAACGATAATCAACAGTCTTGAGAGCCCAAGGCGAAAGCATTACCCCCGGTCTTCTGGCGGTGGCGATGTTGACAACGCCTATGGGCATCATCTTCCCTCTTGGGGGCATCGTTAATAATAATAATAAATTGTATGGTACGCAAACTTGTTAGGTGAGTGTAATTTAGTATATTAACTTGTAAAATGTCTATTTTAGTGCACAAACTTGTTAAGTCGTGCGAACCAGGATCACAATAGCTTGGCAAGATTAATTTTACCAAGCTGATGTTGATTAGCATGTGATGTGCATGTGTATAGTGAGTATGCATAAAACATGCTATGTATTCATAAATTTAATCTCTACTTTATCCTTTATCATTGAAATGATCAATATCATATATTTCTAACCCTTGTATCGTTGCTCAACTTTCATATCTTTCTCTACAATCACTATGTCCCATTCTATAAATTTTTACTGAACATATGTCTGTCTAAATAGCATTCTCACATATGTGTGTGTGTGTGTGTTTACGTAGTATGCTAATTAACACATGAATCGACAAGATTAATCAGGCACTCCTCCACTTCTTTTCCTAACAAAAAGATATCTTTCATCTTTTCCTCTCTCTAGTCACTGGAAACACCCATTGCAAGTCTTGCACAAGTCACCTTATCCATTTTCCCCTCCAATCTCCCACCACAAGTCTTGTAAGTGCAGTTCGATCATGTTTCTGCCAATTGCCTTCGATACATAGTGCTTCCCTCACCATCACCATGTTGGCACTAGCAAGACCCACCAGTCATCCCCTCCCAACTACCTCCCTCTCCTCTTCATCTTACATACATGATGTTATCATCTCCCATCTTCATCAACTCGGCACTAGTATCCTCACACTCCCCTCTTTGAAAGGTTGCATCAGTGGAGATCTTTTACTGCTATATCCTAACTCCCGCTTGCGAACCACATAGAATCTCTCACACTTGCCATTAACCCCACTCACCACCCTCTTCTTCGTCCTCGCGGCTCCAGCAATAATATCACTTGCACCTGATCACCTACCCGTCTCTGCCACCCAAGCTTTCCCTCTAAACCTGATCTTATAGTGCCCCCTACCAAGGGAAATAATCCGGCCTAGGGCTATACTAATAACTTTGTTTATTTAAATTTGTCGACGGGGGATAACCGCAGACTGTATATTGAGGGTTGGGGTACGTTGGTACGAGGATCTACACGATACGACATCAAGCACATAGAAGACAAAGATTATACTGGTTCAGACCCCTTGTAAGGTAATAGCCTTAATCCAGTTCATATGGGATTATGAGAAAAAACCACAGAATACAATAAAGAACAACAGAACTTCGAGATTACTGATGAGATCCTTGTCGAGAGCGTCTTGACGAGATTTATCGGTGAGTAGGCTTCAAGTTCGTCCAGATCGCTTAAGTTATGGCGGGTATCTTGTGCTAAGATTCGATGTTCGGTACCCCTCAAGGGGTCTCTATTTATACTGCAGATCACCTTAGTCTCCGAGTAGGACTCGGAGACAATGGACCCCGTACAATAAGATAATATCGTCATCTTCTCCAAATACAACTCTGACACCTTCTATTCGTAGAGATTGTTTCCTCAAGAACTTAACAATTTCCTTTAACTCAAAAGGATACTTCCCGTATACTTGAGGATATATCGTATCCACATATCTCATGACTCCTAGGATAAAGGGTATGTTTTATCCGTAACCCTGACAAAATTTTCATGTTTTTTTTGTAGGATCTAAAATGGATTAAACTTTAAAGAGACTACAATTGGGCTCAACCCTTAAGTACCCTTGTCTTGTCTCCTCGCTGCCCCTACCTCCATCCCATCATAAAGCCCTAAAACTTAATCTAGAGGAGCTCGCCGGAGTTAATAAGTTTGAGTCGCTATCATTGGAGTGCCATAGGAGAAGACGCTGCCGTCGGTGAGTTCTTCCGTCCGTGGCTTTCATAACGTCTAAGAAGCCGACGGCTAATTTCAATCTACTTACAGTAGCATAAACAATTGCTGGACATAGATGGAGTAAGTATTTGTCCAAAACTCCAAATACATAGCTAAAAGGTTACTACTATATAGAGAGTAATAATTCATTAGTCACACAATTAAACTCACTCACACCAAATGAATGATACTTATCACATGGAACCCAAATATTCTCAAGTGCAACAAGACAAGCTTTGTACAGTAGCAGCAGCAGGGATCAGTGATTAGCAGCTGCTAGCTGCCAAAGCTCCCGTGAGATTAGGCTTAATTTATACTCCCTCCGTCTCATAATATAAGGATTTTGAGTTTTTGTTTGCACTGTTTAACCACTCGGCTTATTTAAAGAATTTTGGAATTATTATTTATTTTTTTTACTTACTTTATTATCCAAAGTACTTTAAGCAGAATTTTTCGTTTTTATATTTGCACAAATATTTTGAATGAGACGAATGGTCAAATAGTGTAACCAAAAACTCAAAACTTGTATAATACGGAGTGAGTATATCACCCACCCACTGTACTATTCCGCCGTACGTGCAACCTCAATTCACTCCAAGATGATGAGTGGCATGCAGACGCCAGTAGTGGCCGTGGGCGCCACGGACTGGGCGTGGCGGCTCGGCGCCCTCGTCGCTGGCGCCGTCCCGCTGCTCGCGCTCGCCGTCTGGCACTGCACCGACGCCTTCCACCGTGCCGCCTTCGCGTTCCGCCGCCGCGGGACACGACGCGCGAGACGGCTCCCGCCGGGCCACATGGGCCTGCCGTTCGTCGGCGAGACCCTCGCCCTGCTCTGGTACTTCAACCTCGCCCGCCGCCCCGACGCCTTCATCCAGGCCAAGAGGCGGCGCTACTGCTACGGCGACGGCGACGACGACGCCGGCATCTACCGGACGCACCTGTTCGGCTCGCCCGCGGTGCTCGTCTGCTCGCCGGCGTCCAACGGGTTCGTGTTCCGGTCGGCGCCGCCCGGCAGCTTCGGCGTCGGTTGGCCGGACCCGGAGCTCGTCGGCGTCTCGTCGATCGTGAACGTGCACGGCGGCCGGCACGCCAGGCTGCGCAGGTTCGTCCTCGGCGCCATCAACAGCCCAAACTCCCTCCGGTCCTTCGCGGAGGTCGTCCAGCCGCGCGTGGCGGCGGCGCTGCGGTCGTGGGCGGCCAAGGGCACCATCACCGCCGCCACCGAGATCAAGAAAGTAAACTAACCATACTCCTACTTGCTTCTCATGGATGCAACGAATTATATGTTGCTTTTCACCGATCGATCGATGGATCCATCGAGATCAGGTGACGTTCGAGAACATATGCAGGATGTTCGTGAGCATGGAGCCGTCGCCGGCGACTGCCAAGATCGACGAGTGGTTCGCCGGATTGGTTGCCGGGTTCAGGGCGCTACAGTTGGACATCCCAGGAACCGCGTTCCACCACGCTCGAAAGGTGACACCCTGTAAATTAATTTTTCTCTGCTTGGATCGGATTTAACAACAGTGAAGCTAGAGATGGTAGAACGTACTACTGTACACATGAATTTGTGCATGCAGTGCCGTAGGAAGCTGAACTCGGTGTTCAGGGAGGAGGTCAAGAGGAGGAAGTTGAAGGCGAAGTTAGAGGAGCACGATGATGTTATGAGCGGGCTGATGCGGATGGAGGATGAGCAGGGTCGGCGGCTGGGCGACGACGAGGTGGTGGATAACATAGTCTCCCTTGTCTTGGGAGGCTACAAGTCCACCTCCAGCGCCATCATGTGGGCAACCTACTACCTCGCAAAATTGTCCGCTGTCCTTGCCAAGTTAAGAGTATGTAAACCAATAAAATGAAGTATTTTTTTTCTTCTATAAGGGTTCGTTTGAGAGAGCTTTTGATAGGTACAACTTCGAATTCTTCTAGAATCTCCAGCCACCAAAAGCTCCTCCAAACAATCCAGATTTTTACACAAATCCTGAAAATCTGTAGTTGTAGAATCTAGAAAATGAAATAGATATTAGAAGATAGGTTTCCCAGCTTAAACTCCTCAGCCCTATATGTTAGTCGCCAGATACTTGGAGAAATATATCCCGTAAAACCATCAAATTCTATAGGTGGCTTATGGATCTATAGTTTGCTAATTTTCTCTTCTCTCGCCTCTCCAACTCAGCATAAATCAGAGGTGTCAACTTTTATAGCCTATTTATGTTATCTTATTGTATATGATCTAACAATGGTGTTGGTTTCTAGAGGGGTCAAACCAAGATGACACAATAGTAACCGCAAGTAGAGCGGCCTATCAAAACTCTTCTCAAGTTTCCATTGCTTAATTGCGTTTTTTAACCTTATCAAGTTTTCTCAGACATAGACCATTTTTAATATTCTCAACTCTTCTTTAAAGGTAAGACATCTTAGAATTTTCTTCCATGTTTAATTTTCCCGTATTAAACAAGTACTATCCCCTATCACAAATAAATAAAATTTCATTTCCAATCCAGTATAAAGGAAGTTGAGGCGTTTTCTTAATTCTTGGGCATAAATCCAAAACAACTTGGAACCAAATGGAGTATATGTGTGTCAATAGACTATTTTCTAAAGGAAAAAAGATTTTATACCTTAATGAGATAACCCCCTCATTATTTTCTGAAAAAAAAACAAGCAAAATAATGATGAAAATATTTTTAAAAAATTTGGAGACATTATTAAAGACTATTTTGGTGACAATGGCAAATATATGTATATATCCACTATCCTAGAAAATTCCAACTGTAAATTCGGCCCATACATTGGGGAGGAGGGGGGACTCCAAACTATGAATAGTACCTGAGCTAATTATCACTTTATTTGTCTCTTTTCTCGTTTTGGAGACCATGTTCAACTTAAAGTCTTTTTGGAGTGGTAGATGTCAATAAATAATATATTATCATTTTTTTAGAATTTCCATAACTGTGAGTATATTTGAGGAAGTAAGTAAAGAGATATGGGGCACATCCTTTGGAGGTATACATATCCATCTTCTTAGCTTATTACGTCTCCTTTGGAACCAAGAAAAAATAGAAGATTTTTATAGGATTGAAATCATGTGCTGCTTTAGAATATTTGAGATTCCTACAAAATTTATTTGGAATGGCTTAATTCATTGGAATTTTGGAGCCTTTCCAACCTGAGGTTGAACCTCATAAGAAATTTTTCTTTTGTCTATCTCTCTCCTCAAATCCTAAGCTTTTCCTATGAAAAATCCAAACAATAAGCTTCAACAATTCATATGTTTAGAATTCCCAAGGACATATACCACTTCCATTCCTTCGTTTTTTCTGTCACGTGTTTTTTATTCATGTTTTTTTTTGAGACTAGGGCTGAGCCCCCCTTCCATTACCGGAACGGATAAAAAGATCTTTTCTTACAAACTGAAAGCAAACAGGAGAAGAAAGAGAGAAAACCCCCACCCCTATAGCAAGACTAAGCTTCCCATACAAGTGCCCAAAAAGAGTCACAATTTGGATGAGGGTGGATCGTTTATAGGGAGATTTCCAGACAGAAACTAGGAGAAACGACACACCAATTGCCACCTAAAGGAAGCAGGACAGCAGTCAAACTCAGCAAAAGCCAACAGACTCAACAACACTCCAGTCTTCTTGTGCACGGCTTCCATCCAAATCTTGAGTTGTATACATCATCTGCTACCTGCTTTACCAGCCTGGCTCCCAGCTCCAGTCTTCTTCGATTTGCCTCCAGTTTCTGCAGAAGAGCCCAAGATTCAATTAGATTACAGACTAAATAAACCACCTCAGTGGGAGTTTTGGGCAGGACATTATCAAAACAAACTCTATTCCTTGTTTTCCAAATAGCCCACACTACTGCTGATATGCCCACCATTAGCAGATTTTTCATATTTTTGTCATAGCCAGATAGCCAGGTACCAATCACCTGGGTTCTATTCAGAGTGGGTTTAAAATTGAAAGCACAAATGATAATGTTCCAAATCATCTTTGCAAGAGGGCAATCAAAAAACAAATGTTGAAGGGTCTCCTCCCTACAGCAAAACTGACACAACTTATCCCCTTTTTTCCAGCCTTTTTTATACAAGTTATCTTTAGTTAAGATTTTATTTTTCAGAAAAAGCCAAAAAAAGATTCTAATCTTAAGGGGGACTTTGATGTTCCAGATTTTTTTGAAAGGGAAGGTCACTTGTTGCATTTTAAGAGCTAAATAGAAGGACTTGACAGTGAAAGAACCATCCTTGGTCAGTTTCCACCAGATTTTATCTCTAACCCCCTCCTGTAAGGTTAGACCAACACAGCTCTGTTTTATCTTATTCCACTCCATAAGTCTGTCACCATGTAAAGTTCTCCTGAATTTAATTGCATCCCAGCCTCCCAACATAACTTTGGACACAATGATTTGTTTAGTGGTTGTTATATTGAACAAAGTTGGGAATTGCAAGGCAAGAGGTCTGCCTCCAATCCAGTTATCTTCCCAGAACAAGGTTTGTTTACCATCACCCAGTTTTTTTGAGCAGAACTTGTAGAAAGAGTTTTTGATCTCCATGAGACCTTGCCAAAAGTGGGAATCGCCTGGTTTTTTCTTCATCCCCAAAAGAGTTTTCTTGCTTAAATATTTGTCTCTAAGGATTTCTTGCCACCACCCATCCTTGTTTTCAAGATTCCACAACCATTTCCCCAGAAGGGCAATGTTCATTATCTCAAGGTCTAAAATTCCCATACCACCTTGGTCTCTAGGAGAGCAAATCACAGGCCATCGAACCAAATGGTATTTCCTAATGCCTTGATCCTCCTGCCACAGAAATCTTCTTCTATAGTAGTCTATTTTTTCTCTGACTCCTTGAGGGAGCTTGTAGAAAGATAACATGTATAAGGGCACATTGCTGAGGCTGGCATTGATAAGAATCAATCTCCCCCCAATGGACTAAAATCTGGCTTGCTAACATCCCAATTTATGCTCCATCTTGTTTTCAGTTGGAGTCCAGTCTTTGTTGAGCAATCTTTTTTTGTGAATTGGAACACCTAAATATTTCATAGGCAAAGTACCTATTTTACAAGTGAAAATCTCACTATACATTGATTGTCTTTCAACAGCCTTGCCAATACAAAACACTTCACTTTTGTTAAAGTTGATTTTCAGCCCAGAAAGTTGTTCAAAGAGACATAAAATGAATTTCAAATTTCTGGCTTGTTCAGGGTCATCCTTGATCATAAAAATTGTATCATCAGCATATTGGAGAATTGTCACTTTGTTATTCTCATTAATGGGGAGGCCTTCTACCAAGGAATTGTTCTCAGCCCTCTGCACCAATAGAGTGAGTGCTTCTGCTGCTAAATTAAACAGCAGGGGAGAAAGTGGATCCCCTTGCCTCAATCCCTTATGAGTGTTAAAATATGGACCCACCTCATCATTTACTTTAATGGCCACTTTTCCACCTCTAACTACCTTCATAACCCAGTCGCACCACTGATCAGGGAAACCTTTGGAGTGCAATATTCTGTAAATGAAACCCCAATCAACCATATCATATGCTTTTTCGAAATCAACCTTAAAAAGGATGCCACTTGATTTTTTTGTATGCAAAGAGTTGAGTAGCTCATGTAGAATAACAATCCCTTCCATAATGAAACGATTTTTGAGGAAAGCTGTTTGGTTCTTAGAAATGATATAAGTCATGATCCTATCCAATCTGTTCATCAAAACTTTAGTGATGATCTTGAAACTCACATTCAAAAGACAGATTGGTCTGAATTTTTGAATCTGCTCAGCATCTTTTGTTTTTGGGACAAGGGTAACAATTCCATAGTTCAATCTTTCAACCTCCAAAAACCCATTGTGAAAATCATTAATCAAATCCAGCAACTCAAATTTAATAATGCCCCAAAATTTCACATAGAATTCAGCAGGGAAACCATCTGGCCCTGGAGCTCTATTTTGTCTCATTTCAAAGACTACTTTTTTCACTTCCTCAAGACTAAAAGGTTTGGTTAGTTCCACTTTATCTTCCTTTGAAACTTGAGTCACTCCCTCCATGTTTAAAGAGCAGGCATTTCCTCTAGTATGACCAAACAGGTTTTTGTAAAAATTTGTTATGTAAGCTATCAGGTTTTGTTGACCTTGAATCACCCCTTCTTCCTGAACAAGAGTATGTATTTGGCTTTTCCTTCTTCTGCCATTAGCTTTGGCATGGTAATATTTGGTGTTGCAGTCCCCTTCCAGAATTTCTTCCTCTTTGCATCTCTGGAACCACTTGTTTTTTTCTTCTCTGACCACAGATTTGAGATCAGTTTCAAGTGAGTTCCTCTCCTCCATCATGCCTATGTCTATCCCTCATGTCTCAGCTTGAATATCAATTGCATCAATCTTATCTAGAATAAATTTTTTCCTTCTATTATATTCACCCTCCCAATTTTTATTCCAGCCCTTCAGCTTTTTCCTCATGTGTTTCATCCTTTTTTGCCATCTCTCTAAGTTGCTACCATTATAACTGGAATTCCAAACTTCTGACACAATTGACACCAGATCCTCCCTCAAAAACCAACTCTGTTCAAATCTGAATAATTTATGAGGTTGGAGAAACTGCCCTGTCTCCATCAGCATGGGATTATGATCAGACATAGCTCTCACTAAAGGCCTAACTGAGGTAAGAGGATGTGCCACCTCCCAATCAATGTTAATGAAAACCCTATCCAATTTCTCTAAAGTAGGGGACTCCTGGTTATTGCACCAGGTAAATTGTCTCCCTCCCATTTGAATTTCCCTTAAATTTGCTTGTTCAATAATGGCATTAAAGATAAAACTCCATTTTGTGTAGCCACCCGATTTATTCTTTTCACTTTCTTTTCTAAGTATATTAAAATCACCTCCCACCATAAGAGGATGACTTTGTGAGTACACTTCCTTGGCCAGTTCAGTCAAAAAATCAGCTTTCTGTTCCACTTGAGCTGCACCATATACTATCATCAAATCCCAAACTTTTTTGTTATCCACATTAGACAGCTTAAGTCTGATAAAGTATCTCCCAATTACCTCCCCAATGATGTTCAATTTCTCACTATCAATTCCCACTAGTATCCCTCCTGATCTGCCAGTGGCAGGCATCCATTTCCAAACCATACCCCTCCCTACACTTAGTTTTTGAAGCATCTCAGCAGAGAAGTCATGTTTTATTGTTTCTAGAATACCTAGAAAATCAAACTTGTGTTCCCTAATTAGGTCCTGCAAATGACCTATTTTTTCAACACCACCCATGCCTCTAATGTTCCAAAACAAACCTTTCATTATCTTCTTTTTTTTGTATTTCCCTTTTCTATTAGGACATTTGGGAGTGACCTTAAAAATCTCAAGGTTTCCCTTCTTCTGACGGCTTTTTTTCATAGAAGATTGCACTTGTTTAAGTAAGAAATCAATCTCATCTAAGTTAGTACAGTCATTGTCAGAAGAATCCTCATCAGACCAAACATTATCTAGATTATTGTCATCAAATTCTTTTTCTACATCATTAGGACTGCAATCATTTTTCCTCTCCTTCATAAAGAGGTTTTTTATTCATGCATTCCAAAGAAGTCCTTAATAACACGTGTGTATGCATGTCTTCTCATAATTACATTAATTATCTACATGGATGTGTGCCTTGACTTTTACAGGAAGAGAATTTGGCCATAGCAAAAGAAAAGAATGGAGCCAGCTTCATTACTCTAGATGACATCTCCAAGATGAAGTACACAGCCAAGGTACATGTACTAAGAAATTAATGAACATGATTTCAATGAGTAATCAATGAACTTATGAACATGAACATATCATTGAGCACTTGCAGGTAGTGGAAGAAACAATTCGGTTGGCCAACATATCTCCGATGCTTTACCGGGTGGCACTCAGAGATGTCGAGTACCGAGGTGATATCAATAAATTATACTTTAATGATTATTTTTAGAGACTTTGATCATCATTAACATAAAACTAAGGTCATAATTAAGAAAAAGTTAAATGGATCTCTGTGTTATCAAACGCCTCCATAATATGCATTTTTATGATATTTTTTTTTGTTGGTTGCATGTAAGGGCAAATTAATCGAAATAGTAATTATACATGAGTGGAAAATAACATCAATGTGTTACTGACATGTGGCGCCAATACCCGTGGTCTTCACAGTTCACACTATCATTTCTAATCTATACTAGTAGCATGTTTGCACTCTTACCCAGCAATTATATAAACTACAAGAATAATCACAATTTTGTATTGTAGACTGTAGAAAATTAAAACTACCAAAATTATTTCTGGAGCAGAGGGAAAATGGTACTAATGAATAATTATCGAGAATAACCCATGATCGAGATACTAAGTAAATTCTCACTCAAAATTGTTTAATTGTATGCATGCAAGCAGGTTATACAATACCAGAGGGGTGGAAAGTAATTGTGTGGATCCGATCACTACATGTTGACCCTAAATATTACGATGATCCGTTGAGCTTCAACCCCGACAGATGGGATGTAAGTTGGTTCATAACTATACATGAAAATGAAAAAAAAAATACCCAAAAAAATATAGTTGGATTGTGCTGCATCTACCATATAACAAAGAAATAAAATGGTCTATGTGTGTGCATCTACCATATACAGGCACTTATCTGATTGGGGGTTGAGAACTTCATAAAACAGATAGGGGAAGAATTGTTTCCATGCAGGCTGGTGCTTTGAATTTTGATAGATAAACTTTCAGAAAGATGCATGGGCTGTGTTTAGATCCAAAGTTTGGATCCAAACTTTCAGTCCTTTTCCATCACATTAACATGTCATACACACACAACTTTACTTTTCAGTCACATTATCTCTAATTTCAACCAAAATTCAAACTTTACGCTGAACTAAACATAGCAATGGTCTGCAGAGTTATGGACTTATGGTGTACTTGAGGCCATTAATTTCCCATAGAATTCTTTCTAGCATAGCAATATAAAGACTTGCAATTTAATCATGTTCTTTTTAGTAGCTTATTCACCAGATTATATTCCCCATGCTTCAAAAAATATGTTTTCTTAAAAATTCTTCTTTAATTTACTACTATAATCAAGTAGATGATCGGTTAAAGTAATCCTATTTAAACTAGGAGCCCCACTTATAAACCAATTTTATGGGCCAAGCCCACAAAACTTGCTTATAAATGAGGACTTGAGTGCCGATCTGCTATATATTTACTCCCTTCAGGTTGCAAATAATTATCTTTTAAAAAAAACATTGATGCTACAATGCTAGACTTAAAAACTTTGACTATAAATAATTACTGATATACGTATATAACACATGCATAGATTAATCTTAAAATGTACTTCAATAATGTTATATATTTACTGATACTTTTTATATATTACAATAGAAATAGTGAAAACTTATTTTGTGGAGACCGTATCTTTATCAAAACGATAACTATTTTTAAATTTGAAAGAAAACGTAACTAAACATATGTGGTCGTTCATGTACATAATTTATTACTCGATCGAAGTAAATGTTCTTCCTTTGATGATAAATTGTCAACTTAATCGTAAGTGCATTGATTGATCAGAAAGCAGCGAAGCCAGGCACGTACCAGGTGTTCGGTGGCGGCGAGAGGATCTGCGCCGGCAACATGCTGGCAAGGCTGCAGCTCACCATCATGCTCCATCATCTCTCTTGTGGTTACAAGTATTCACTAAACTTCCAAACCTTCATTAACAGTACATGTGTACAATTATTCTCAGTAATAATTCACCCTCTGTATTTTTTTTTCAATGGCTCAATTTATTTCTTCCAGATGGGAGTTGTTGAATCCTGATGCAGGGGTTGTTTACCTTCCACACCCAAGGCCAACAGATGGGGCTGCCATGTCCTTTAGTAAACTCTGATGGCAGCTTATATCATTCAGATAAAATAAAGTCACCGTTCACCAATGAATGACATGGCAGATTGGCAGGCTAAGTTTCTTTAAATGCATTGTTCAATTCTTCCTGCTCCACATTACCACATATTCTGTATGTAAATAAACTCTGCCATGAATTTTTCTCTAATAAAATATTGAGGCAAATCCTACATGAGCAGCAATCTTCTCACCTGTAGTGCTCCCAGCTAGATTCTTTCATGCAATAAAAAGGAGAAATTTTGCTACAAGACATCGTAACGAGAGAGAAGCCACATTTGCACGCAAAGAGACCCAAATGCCCTCGTGGTAGTCCTAAACTTGACAGGGATCTGTATTTTTTGTTCCTATAGTCGGAACTTCCGGTAGGCTCTGGAAGTTCTGCTTAAGAACACTGGAGGTTCCAATTAGGTAGGAAAAGCCCACGAAGGGAAAACAACTCACAAGCACAACTTTAATTCACTAGCTACAACTAGCAACATGAAAACTAAAGAAGCAGGAAACTAGCGAGCTAGCTAGCACAAAACAATTAGAACACGATACAAATGATTATGCACAAAAGAAAAGAGGGATAAAGGAGAAGACAACTGATTTTTCACCGAACTTCGGATTCCAAATTATCCTTCGTTTTCATTGAGGGACTCCAAAAAGTCAGGTTTCTTTAATTCCAAATTAATCTCACAAAGCAACAACAAAGATCAAGCTCGGTATCTACTCAAGCCACCTCTTTTCCTTTTAGAGAGACAAAGTAATCCTTCACAAACTTCACCGGCGCTCGTGAGCGACACCTCACTAGCTAGCGAACAGGAGAACCTCAAAGAGTAACAAATACAGTGACAAACGAGCTCGATGCCAATCTTGAGTGCCCAAGATAAAAGCTAGCCTAGTCTCTCATGCACTCACTTCCAAATCTCTCTACACCAATCCCTAAAGAGGAAGCACTAGAGGTAGAACTAGCTAGATAGGTAGAATACGACGCCCCGCAAATAATTGAGAAAAAGAAAAAGAAGAGAGCAAAGCTCAGCCCAGCCCAACAGCAAGAAGAGCAAAGCTCAGCCCAGCCCAACAGCAAGAAGAGCAAAGCTAAGCTAGCAGCACAGCCCAACAGCAGAAGCAAAACGCAGCCTAGTACTGCACTGTACTGTAGCAGCCGGGCACTGTATAGTGGCCACATTTGTTACTGTAGGAAAAGTTGGCCCACCTCGCCCAACCTAAGAGAGTTTGCTCTGCTTAGAGCAATGGAACAAGTTCACTTGGTGACCCTCAAAAGTGATTGAAATCTAGTCCGTGACCCTAAACCACAAAACCGGATATCTTGACCCCCAAACTATGAAAACCGGTGCAATTTGACTCCCTTGGCGGTTTTGGAGGGCGGTTTCGCTGACGTGGCGCTGACGTGGCGGTATTGACCGGGTCTCCTTTACGCGTGGCGTTTAGGAAGCATTTAGAATTAAAAAATATGTGTGGGACCATTTGTCATTGACACCAAAAATAGATTGTGGGACCCACGTGACCCTTCTCTCTCCCCTCCCTCAGTTCCTTCTCTCTCCCCGCCGCTCCCTCTCTCTATCCCGCGGCGGGCGGAGACGGCGGCGAGCGGTGAAGACGGCGGCGAGCGGTGGCCTGCGAGTGGCGGAGGCGCGGTGGCCTGCGAGCGGAGGTGGCGCCCGGGCTGAGCTCCACAGCGGCGAAGACGGAGAAGACCACAGCGGCGGCGGCGGGAGGCACACGCTGCGCGGTATGGCGAGCTCGGCCGCCGTCGACCAGGTCTTCGACGCCGTAACCGGCAGGCGGGGGCCGGCGGCAGCGCCGGGAGGGCGGGCGGGTGAGAGCGGCGACTCATGGCAGTGGGCGGCCGAGGGGAACCGGCGGCGGTGCGAGTGGCGGCTGAGGGACGAGGGCCGGCGGGCGGGTGAGGGCGGCGGCGGCTTGTGGCAGTGGAAGGACGTGGGGAGCCGGCGGCGGCGGGAGGGTGGGCGGGCGAGGGCGGCGGCAGCTAGTGGCAGAGGAAGGACGAGGGGAAGCGGCGGCGGCGGCGACCGGATCATGGCACTTCTCCTCTCGGTGGACGGCCGCGTCGGGGGAGTGACAGCGTGAGACGACCTCCTCGGCGGCGTGCTCTTCCTCATCCCTCTCCTCGAGTTGTTCCGCCTCGCCGTGGGGACGCACGGTTTCGAAGTCGCCGCCGCGGCCTGCTTCTCTCGCCCGCCGCCGTTCTCCTCGTCCTCCCACTGCCGCAAGCCGCCGCCGCCCTCCCGTTGCCGCCCACCGCTGCCGCCCGCGGGCTGCCGCCGCCGCCGCTCCAGCTAGCTCCTGCCGCCACCGCCGCTCACTCCCCGCCGACAGCCGTAGGGGAGAAAGAGAAAGAAAGAGAGAAGGGAGGGGAGAAGAAAGGGAGAAGATGGCATGTGGGACCCACATGTCAGTGGGCCCCACAATTGTGAGTGAATGACAAACGGGTCCCATGTATAACTTTTTAATTGAAATGCCACCTAAGCGCCATGTCAGCACACAGACTAGGTCAATACCGTCACGTCAGCGAAACCACCCTCCAAAACCGCCGAGGGAGTCAAATTGCATCGGTTTTGATAGTTTGGGGGTCAAGATATCCGATTTTGTGGTTTAGGGTCACGGATTAGATTTTAATCACTTTTGAGGGTCACCAAATGAACTTATTCCTAGAGCAATTAACTATTCCTTCCGTTTCAAGTTAGAAGACGTTTTGACTTTGGTAAAAGTCAAACTGCTATATGTTTGTTTTATTTTGTAGAAAAAAGTAGTAATATTTTTCACCCAAGACTAATATATTATAAAAATTTATTCAATTATAGATTTAATGAAACTATACTGGTGTTATAAATATTACTACTTTTTTCTATAGAGTTAGTCAAACTTATAGTACTTTGACTTTGACTAAAGTCAAAACGTCTTATAACCTGGAACGGAGGGAGTACCGTTCGGACTTTTTTTTTTCATGAAGCAAGAACAAAACGCAATAGTGTTAGAAATGTACGTATAGTGAGTTGGACCTAGAACTGTTTTCAAACCCTAGGCATGGAAGAAGTCTAGAAAGGCATGAATTAAGGTCTTATTCGGTTTGAAGGAAAAACAAAGGATTTGGATCCTAAGGATTAATTCCTACATGTGCCATTCGGCTTATAGGAATGAGGAATAGGAAACCAAAGGAATTTTTCTTTTCCATTCAAGTTGTAGAGAGGAAACATAGAAAAAATTTTATCCACTCAAACCTTTTGGAAAAATTCCTATGAATTGATGCGTGCATACATTTCTATTCATCCACTTTTCCTATTCCTATGAGTTGAAATTCCTCTAAACCGAACAAGCCCTAAGGTTTCACATGTAGAGAACAACCAACCATTCAAAAAGGAGGTAGGTGAAGTTAATATAAATACTCTCATGCACTTTCATTAGCCACATCGACCGAAGCCACCTTCATCTTTGGGTAGCAATAATAGTCTAAGTCTTTATAGTCATCAGCTCAACCTCTGTTGCCTCTGTCTTAGCTGGAGTAGTCTCCACTGACTCTACATTCTTCGCCTTAGTTTCAGCCAACACATGAGAGTGACCTCAACACTTGGTGTGGAGAGGGGGCATAGGAGGTATATGAGGATTGGAGCGGGCCTAGGATCAGGCCACGACCAGGGATGGCCTATTATAACGTGGGTTGTGAACATTATTTACATGATGGGAAAATAGACTTTTGCAGCAGAGATTGAATCCCAAGCCGCGAGCCATGACTTGGGTAGCCCAAGGCCTATGTATTCAGCTGCATGAGGATCATCACAAGATTTGGAGGACATTGCATCGCATTTGAGAAAGTTGGCAATGATGTACAGTTGGAGCGGTGATGGTGGCGTGCAAAGAGGGTAGGGATAGCTCATGGATGATGAGGGGGTTGACTATGTGCTAGACTAGAGGAGACTCGTAGTGAGCCAAGAGCTTGGGTAGGGGCAGAAGACGAGGAAGCGCTAGTGGTGGTAAGAACACGAGCGAGACAACCGCGCTAGAGTTAAACCGGTTAAGGCAGTTGGGAGCGTTCAAATATCGGAAACACATGAATTCACTGATAATAGAGACCCACACGTTAGTATTGGAGTACCATTGCCTTCTTCTGAAAAATTGTTTAGCATTTTATTATTTTAAATAACATGACGTGTAAAGGAAACATTGCACTAGTCATACCATAATGATATTAAAAAAATGAATTTATTATGCATACGACCCAACCGTTTGACTCACATAATAGTGAATCAAATCATCAGTTGCAACAACTACAATGTATATGAATATGCTCTTTTTGATTGATATATGGTTACATGTCTTTAGTTGTATATGAGTTGTACAACTAGATCGTACGTACTTTAAAAAAAATTGAAAAAGAAAAAGAAAATCCAATAGCAAGAAAGCAACCAACAACCAAGCAAGCAATTGCTTTTGCTAAAGCCACGCAAGCAAACCCAGCTGGCCTGGCCATACATACAAAGTGACCAGGTGAGTCAGAGTGTCAGACAGACGGGTGGGCAACTGGGGCGACGATGCTGACCGTGGCGGCTTCCGCACTCCGCAACAACAAAAAATCCACCGCCGCGGCCTGCTTCTCCCTTGCTATGCCCTTCCTCCTCTCCTCCCCCACCCCTCCTCCCCCACCTCACTCCTCCTCTCTCCCCCGGAGCCCTAGCCCTCGCCCTCGCCTCCCGCTCCCGCCACCCCGCCGCGCCGCCCTCGTCACCGCCGCGCAGGACCCTCGGTGGCGGCGGGCCATGGCGTCGCTGGCCGTCTCGGCGTCCGCGTCGGCGTCGGGGGAGGAGGTGACGCACCTCGCGCAGCGGGAGGCGGCGGAGATCGACGAGCAGCTCATGGGCCCGCTCGGCTTCAGCGTCGACCAGCTCATGGTCCGGTACTCCTCCCTCCCTCCCCCGGCCTCCACTCGGCTTCTCTGACTCATCCATCCCTTGGGTTTGGTGTGTGTGTGTGTGCAGGAGCTTGCGGGGCTTAGCGTTGCGGCGGCGGTTGCGGAGGTAAAGGCACCCGCTCAGAGGCTTTGTTTCCCCCGATTTGGGTGATGATGTTTACTGTGTGATGGGTTTCAGTACCTTTCAATTTTGGTTGCTGTGGCGGTTTCAATCGTTTCTTGCTACTTATTTGGCCACTACAGGAGCAACTGTTCATGGTCATTATGGACAAAACCTTTACAAAGGGGATAGGCTAGGCTGTGTTTAGTTCCACCGGCAAAAAAAAATTGCTGGGCCACATCAAATATATAGACACACATTTGAAGTATTAAATGTAGACTAATAACAAAACAAATTACATAATCCACATGTAAACTGCGAGACGAATTTATTAAGCCTAATTAATCCGTCATTAGCAAATGTTTACTGTAGCACCAGATTGTCAGATCATGGCACAATTAGGCTTAAAAGATTCGTCTCGCAATTTACACGCAATCTGTGTAATTAGTTTTTTTTTGTCAATATTTAATACTCCGTACATGTGTTCAAACGTTCGATGTGACGGGGCAAAAAAATTTGCCGGTGGATCTAAACACCCCCTTAGTTACGTTTATATACGAGAAAGCGATATCTAGTGACATAACGCAAGGTCTTCCAAAAGTAGAACAAATCTTCAAAGCGCGTTCAATTGATTCACTATCGCTGAATCTCGAAAGGAATTTGTGCTCCCAATACGTAACTGCCTTACCTGAATGTGTTGATATTATGCTGGAGTATTGTGTTTCTTCAAGACGTGGTAGTTTGATTAATAAGCATGTAAATTAGCGACTCTAATCAGCAACGAGGAGTTGCACAACTTTTTGGCTTTGTTACTGTAGCTGGTGTACTCGTGCTCTGCAGTTTTGTTTCAAGATTTTTTTAAAAAATCATGCATATAATCATCTAGGTTGGAATGCAGCACTACCGCATTATCATGCTGTTTCCTGTTGTTGCTGAACATGATGAGAAATGCAACTAATCATCTTGTGCCTGGCTGTCTGCTGTCAAAGAATGGACTAGCCAATACAGCAATGAAGTGATTTAACTGTTTAATGGGTTTGTGTAATTCCACTAACTTTGAGTAGAGAAAATGAAATCTGGTCAGACCTAAAAAAATGGAACTGTCATCATGTGGTTCACATTTTTCTTTCTTTGGATTTCCTTCTTGTACCTGTTTGTTACTGTTATGAGTCTTAATTAGTGATACTTTATTGTATTGACCCCCCAAAAAAAATCACAGGTTTACAAGTTGGGTGAACATACAAGGGTGCTAGTAATCTGTGGTCCAGGAAATAATGGTGGTGATGGTCTGGTAGCTGCTCGTCATCTTCATCACTTTGGGTACAAGCCTTCTGTATGTTATCCAAAACGCACGCCCAAGCCTCTGTATTCTGGCCTTTGTACTCAGGTAAACTGATATATCCTGTTCCATTTTCTTGGCGTGCCAAATGCTTCCTCTTTTCCAATATAATTCGAGCCACTCTTTTGTTTCAGCTTGAATCACTAACAATCCCTTTCGTTCCTGTTGAAGACCTACCTGCAAATTTATCGGAGGAGTTTGACATCATTATTGATGCAATGTTTGGTTTTTCGTTTCATGGTATGTGCATGCTATCCAATATCTTATCATAATCATAGTAATTTTGATGTGAAGCTGGTACTAGGGAACTGATCAGTGCCTGCTACTTATATATTTATTCCTTATGAATATTCTGTATGATGTGATTTGTAAAGTAAGGCCATAGATTCTCTGTTAGACTGTAGTGTGGTAGTCTCTTTATCAACAGGAACTTAGGAATGAAACAAGTGAGAATTGATGTAGCTCAACTGTGGTATGAATAACAGCTGATGTCATGTAATATATTACTAGTTCTTTTGTCGCAAATTGTATTTGAGACTTTGTTAAATATACTGTATCGATCTTGTTATATGTCAAGTTTTTTTTTTCTTTTGATAATGGGACAATTGACAGATTTGTATGAGTGAACAACTAAGGCATAGTTTACTGCACTGTTTTACTAAAGCAAGAATGATTTGTGCATTAAGATAATGCTGCCAATGCTATCATTTGGATTAAATTGGATTGGATTGAGCCCAGATCCCAGAGTTAGCCCCCATTGCATTTGCAACGCAGGAATTTATAGGATTAATTCACAAGAATCATTTCATGTACCACATGAATTGAGAAAAGGCCTTAAGTTCCAAAAGGGTTTTCAGTGAGTCTGTTCCTGAGCTCAGTGATGCTTTCATTTATTTTAGCTTTTTTTTTTCTTTTGGGAAATATCAATGCAGGAACACCAAGACCACCATTTGATGATCTTATCAACAGGCTTGTTTCACTGAGTGCTATTGATAATTCTGCTAAAAGACCAGCAATTGTTTCTGTTGATATCCCTTCGGGGTGGCACGTTGAAGAGGGAGATATCAATGGAGGAGGGTTTAAACCTGATATGCTGGTTAGCAACTTAGCATCCTTTTCAGAAGCTTTCTGGATTTGAATCAATATAGTAGTATAAGATATTGCTGTTTGAACATGCAAATTTCATTTGTAATGCGATTTATGGTGTGCCTAGGTATCATTGACTGCACCAAAGCTCTGTGCAAAAAAATTTACCGGTCCACACCATTTTCTTGGGGGTAGATTTGTTCCCCCACCTATTGTGAGCAAATATAAGCTTCATCTTCCTCCATATCCCGGTACCTCAATGTGTGTGAGAATTGGAAAAGCTCCATCTGTTGACATTTCATCTCTAAGAGAAAATTACATCTCCCCTGAACTTCTCGAGAATCAGGTGATGCCTGATCCATTTGATCAGGTACTATCAAACTGAAAGAATTTTGAATTTATTCATCTTATACATTAGTAAAGTATTGTTCTTCTGAATGGGATGAATGTTTTATTTGATTTGCTTGTAGTTCGTTAGATGGTTTGATGAAGCTGTTACTGCTGGTCTACGTGAACCAAATGCTATGGCTTTAACAACTGCCGATAAGGAGGGAAAACCGTATGCCTCCTTTTCGTTAAATGTTCCTTTCAGATCAGCAAGCTAGTTTCCCCTCTTTATGTCAGAATGATAATTTTAGTGGACATCTGTGTGCAGTTCGTCAAGAATGGTTCTTTTAAAGGGTGTTGATAAGCAGGGATTTGTTTGGTAAATACAAGTGATTACTTAAACAATTTCTCGCTGTTAGTCCAAGTTTCTCTGGAACTACTGACTTGTGATTCTGCTGGGCCTTGTACAGGTATACAAATTATGGTAGCCAGAAGGCACATGATTTATCTGAGAATCCAAATGCCGCTCTGCTTTTCTACTGGAATGAGATGAACCGGCAGGTGATTTTACCAATCCTATGCTAAATTGTGTTATCTGTAGTACTATCTAATAGCAAGAGGATTAAACACCTTTCCAACATGTAATACAAAACAAATTCACTAGCGTAATCAATGACCGTCAACAGAATGTTGCTCTTTGTATTCTGCAGTTTTTGCTATTTTTGTATCTTGCCATGTCAATTTATTGTTCTGCAATCAACAATCATTTGACTAGGTTTTAAGTTTCTGTTCCATCTGATTTGTAGCATCAATTATTGAACACTGTGTATTCATTTGTTAAGTAATATGCAATGAGCCGTGTTTCAAACCAGGGCAAAGAAAATACCATGTTGCTTTATATTGCAAACTCGATTCAGCTGATGCCTGGTATTTATTGTCATGCAGGTAAGAGTAGAAGGTTCTGTTCAGAAGGTTCCAGAAGAAGAATCTGAGAAGTATTTCCACAGCCGCCCACGAGGGAGTCAACTTGGTGCAATAGTCAGCAAGCAGGTACTGTTATTGGCTTATTGCTGTTTAGTACAAAAACTTATGGTTCCCACATGTTTTACTCAAAGATCAAATGAAAGTATAACATGCTTCAAAATGAAATGAAAATCGATAATACCTATGCTATTTTCTAGAGCACTATCATTCCTGGAAGGGAAGTTCTTCAGCAGGCGTACAAGGAATTGGAACAAAAGTATTCTGATGGGTGAGTTTGACATGCCAGTTATTTCCATACTTGGTATTAGTACATTATTTTTCTAATTCTATTGGACATTGGCATGAACTATTCACTTTGGTTATGTTTTTCTCGGGCAGTTTACTTTTGAGTTATCAAATTACTTCAGAATTTAAGTCATATGGTACTTTTGACTACTTTCACCATACAGTAGCCTGAAGTTCAATAAAAATGAGCTCCTGGCATTGATAAACCCAGATTTATGGATAGTAACCATTAAAATCAAGGTGCTGATAGTTATTTGTAACCATGAACCTATCAAGCATCATAACCATAAAGTAGCCATACGGTTTCTGCACTTTCCTGTTGTTGTCCTTTGTCACATTGGATATACAAAGTTTGTGATGGAATGATCCTCCTGTTGGAAACTTGGAGCTGCAGCACATTGTTTTTGTCCCTCTCTGTATAGAGTGGAAAACTGGAAAGGGAAGGAAAGCAAATTAATTGAAAGTGGAATTTCTTGAAGTCTCGACCACCAGTGTTTTGTTATTTATTGGTGTATAGTTTCTATGATTACGATACCGATGCATATCAAAACACTTACATAGGAAGTTTAAGTAGGGTAGCTACTAAGTCCTGAATCTTTGCTATGTATTTTACGAAGTCTTCATATAATTGCCCCTGTGTCGTTGATCTGCAGCAGCGTGATCCCAAAACCTGATTACTGGGGTGGGTACAGATTAACACCAAAACTTTTTGAGTTCTGGCAAGGCCAACAGTCTCGACTGCATGACCGGTATGTTTCATACAGCCATTATATTTTTCTCTCTTATTTATTTAGACAACATAGCTATTAACTCGTAATATCTTGATGCAAACAGGCTTCAGTATTCACTGCGAGAAGTAGATAGGAGCACAGTATGGCACATCGAGAGGTTGTCCCCTTGACTAGTAACCCCATCCCAGCTCTTTGGTAATAAAAAGGATCTCATCTTATTATCAAGAATCAAATCTTATCCCAGCTGCAAGGAGTCCCAATTGCTCGATGATGTTAGTGCCATGATTAGGTCGCGTGTTTGAGACTGTGAGTGCCTGAAGCTCTGCTTTTTGACATGCCCTTCACACATCTGATGTTCTCTGAAGCACAGAGTGGATGAATCCATGAAGGCCCTTCTCTTGGTCATAAGATTTTTCTGTAAATGCCATTAAATTTTAACCGTCCTGTAGAAAGAATTATGATGAGAATCTCATTATCTCAGCCTGGAGAAGACTGTTGGACATAGGTCGACATCGTAGTATATCGAAGAAATAATGTTCTGGGAGGAAATAAGTATTTATCAGCATCAAGCATATAAGTCAATAAAGTTGTGTGCTGCAATGGCATTGTCTGCTTTACCAGTTTGCTGCTAGCTAATAGGGCTTTGCGTGTTGCGTCTGTGCCTATTATGATAGATAAGGCTGTATGTTTTGGGTCATTCACTCTGGTGTAAGCATCGTCGTGCAGTTGCACAATCACTGAGATTACTAGTAACTCTGGCAAGTTTGGTAGTATTGGAGGTATTGAGATTACAAGAACGTCGGATGTATAGCAGGGTTCATTTCAGATTGTAGGTAGATGAACAAGCTACTTATTAGTTTTGATGAAGATCTCTCAATGCTGGTATGCACGGTCTCAAACCTGACCAAACTTGCACATGAGCTTTATCAATGCGGGAGGTGTAGTCGGTGGACTCATTATGGGTATAGGAGGAGGGGGAAATGATGGCAAGGCTGCTGGCATGGCGAGGGAGGGAGAAGGCCCGAAGTGTGAACCGGTTGAGGCTGTTGAACCAAAGTTAAACGCCTATTTATATTTCGTTCAAACACAGCACAAACATACAATTATACACATGCGCGCGTGCACCCTAACGTTATTGTTTTTTTTAATGGTTAGGTTGTTGCGATGTTTTGTATAAAGAAGAAGTTGTTCAATTTCGCATAGTTAATTATAAAAAACCATGACTACAACGGATAAAAAACTGCAAACCTAAACTAGAAGGCTACGAAAAAAACAGAACAGTCAGGTTCAACATTTAGCAAACGCTATTCACTACAAGATTTGCAAAACCAAGTAGCAAGCTAGAAGATCAAATAAGGCTCACCCGCATGGGTAGATAAGCAATGTTATCGTCATCACACCATCATGGGCAACCGCATCTTCTAGGAAACGCCAGGGTCAGGGAAGCCTTGCCGACCAACAAGTTTGCTACCCCACGCTAAAGCAAAAACTCAAAGGGCGAGGTCCTACTTGGGTCATCATTGCCAAGAACCCTACTATTATTGTCTTTATGAAAATCTCGAGACTTAGCCATATATCTTAAATTGACAAAGTCATCACGTTTATCACTATAAGAATATTTGCCATAAATACAAGCACAAATACTGATCAAAGACTTAAACCACCCAAGGAAACAGGTTCCACCCCAAGATATATAACCAACTTATCTATACTAAATTCAAGATTATCTATAGTTTTTTTCTCAATAAAACTCAAGTGGAAATGATATTTTAGTAGGTAAAATATGCTCTACAAAATGAGTGCCTTTTAAGGCCATGTTCTAAAGAGCTATCTGAGCTTAGCTGCTACTCTTTTCAAACTGCTAAACAATATGTTTCATGCGAAATCTTTCTACACAGAGGATACTTTTAAAAAAATCAAATAAATTTATTTTTTTAAGTTTTTAATAATTAATAGTTAATTACCTTTCTCGTTTTACGTGCAACTAATCCTCCAAAAAAAACATGGTCTAAGTATCCTAGAGCTAATAGGCAATAAGTAAATAGCACTAATAATTTTTAAATTGTTAGATTACGATAACCAAAAAAGTTTTATAGTTTGACAAGTTTATAGAAAAATATAGCAATATTTTCAACACAAAACAATCATATTATCAAAATTTATTCAATTTAATATTTAATTAAACTAATTTGGTGTTGTAAATGTTATTAAATTTTATATAAAATTGATCAAACCTAAAGAATTTTAACTAGAAAAATCAAAATGACTTATAATACGAAAAAGAGGGAGTACGTTTAAGACATAGCACATTGTGTCAATACATCATCCTTATTTATGAAATATTTCAAATAAGATGTGTTAAATTTAAGGTAGTAAATACTTGTAAATGGAAGTAGTAACGTGTTATCCCCTCCATTTTTTAATGGGTTAATTAGATCCATGCCATTGCAATTTTGTCTAATTTAAAAAAATACCACTACTATTTACGATATCGGTTGGGTGCCATTGGTATTTTGCAAAATTTGAATCAAGCCATTACATACGTCTCGGACACAGTTAGATCAGGTTCGTATGTAACATTTTTTCGTGTAGACCAAAATACCCACATCCCTTAGAGGCTGACAGTGGGACCCACCTTGTCATACTTCTCTTCTTCCTCAGGCCGTGTTTAGTTCACCCCCAACTGCCAACTTTCCATCACATCACATCACATCCAAAACTTTCCTACACACATAAACTTCCAACTTTTTTTTTTCAAACTTCCAACTTTTTTCAGGAACTAAACACAGCCTCAGCCCCTCTCTAGCTCGACGAGGCCGGTGGCTTGTCGGGAGCTCAACCAAGCTGGCGGCAGGACAAGAAGTGGATGGCCTCGTCGTTGCCACCGGATTTGCTTGCGCCACCACTGGATCCGTGCTTCCTCGCTGGCGCCACCACTGTTGTTGCTTTCTACTTCACTAGGATTTTCGGCGCGCTTCGCGGCGCCTCCCCACCGTTCATTTAGGGCTATAGAGCTAACGCAGTATTTTAGAGTTTTATGGCGAAGGCATTCAAGCAAAGCAAATAGAATTGGAGGATCTTAGTAATAGCAGATGGATATAAAGCTGAAAGGTTAGTACAACAGGGGTAGTCATGCTGCATTGCATGTCCAAGGAGCTCTAGCAGTGAGCAAAACAGAGGATACATAACATATATATATATTTTTGGTTCTTTTGCAGGCGCAACAAAACTATATAGCCTGCGACTGAGGATGATCAAATGGCTGCTCTTCGTGAAGGTGGACTGGAAGCTGTTGCCGTGGCACTGACAGTGCGCCTCCTTCGATTGGGCCATAATCAGAGTCGATCCTGCCGGGCAGCCACTGGAATCTTTTGATAATTGGGAGATGATGCACTTTGTTTTCATACTCTATGAGAGCCTCTGGATTGTCTTCATTTCCACTGGTTGGATCATTGTAGTCAAACAGCTTTTCGATATGAATTAGTATGATAGATAGATCCCCATTTGGTTCAATTCAGATCAGTGGATTGTTGCCCTGGCTGGTTTGTGTCAATGTTCCACTCTATGATCTTTGGGATAAGATCACAGTTTGTTGTCCATGCTGCCAATCTAAACATTGAAAGATCCTGGATATGGTGCTCTTCATACAGTTCTTCGATTCTACAACAGTTGTCGAGCAACTCTATTATAGCCTCTTTGTTCCATTGTTCAGGTGGCACTCCTTCTAATGCTAGTATCACCCTTTGACGTAGTGGACTGATGGTACTATCGAAGTTCATTTTGAAAGGCTGAAATTCAAGCTTTGTTGTTCTGAATGTGTATGTTTTTTGGTTCAGTGCTTTCTCATATTGTTCTTCTTGCTGGTCATGATCCATAAAAATGGTAATATATATCCGGTGACGGAATGGAAGCAAGGCAAAATCATCAACCTGGCAGTCACAGACAAAACCTAGCATCGCTGATATCTGGGTTGTGGTTGGATTACCAGCTCCATGGACCCTGACAACTATTGCATTCTGGTATATAATGTCGGCTAGTAATTGGGACGTCTCCTTTCTATTGGAAAATTTTGCTGCTGCTAGTGGCCGTTTCTTCACATAGGTCGATGGTTGTGTTATTGGCCTAGTAACCTCCCTGTCTTGGTTGTGTTCCATGTTGCTGCAAAAATAAAAGAAAAATATGGCTGTGAATGTGCTTGGCTTGTGCATGTAGGGAAACTGTTCTATCTATAAACAGATCTAATTTCCCTGCCGTTGTATTTACTAATCGATTTGTTGTACCTATGTTTATTTGATAAGATAAGCGAGGAAAGCATAATATATGTGTAGAAATCAGTTTGGAGAATGAGATGCGGTGGCTGTGGTACCTGGTATGGATGAATATCAGAGCAGCAATAGCAATGAGCCGTTCTTCTTCTGCTCAATGTAGTAGATCACAAGCAAGAACCGAAGGAGGAAGTGAAGCTGGAAAAGAGGATGTGTTCTTGATGGAAGGAGAGAGAGAGAGAGAGGTCTGGCTGAGAGAACGGATAGAGGTAGAAGAAGGTTAAAGAGTGAGGATAGACAGGTTGCTAGGGTGCTAGCTATGTTGTCTTTTCAAAGTCTTTTCAAGAGAAGTGGGCAAGTGAGCAGATAGGGCGTTTATGTTCTCTTCAATGTGCAGCTGGGTTGGCACATATGGTGGTTTGGAGAACGCACTGTGTTGTTTATCGTATATATGAACGCTTGGTCTAAAAGCTACCGATGTTCGTTTGAAACGTTTGAGCTGTAAAGATTGGATTGAAAACTATGTGGACGTAATTGCGTGGAAACGATATATGGGCACAGAATATCAGCCATGGCAAGCAATTACGGGTTGAGAAAGCTATAATAGTTGATCTGATCTGCTGGTATTTGGTATTATCAGGATGAATCATGATAATGTAGAATGCCAGCTATATAAATACAGGCCAAAAAATAAGAAGTTTGCTTGCAAAAGGAATAATTCTAGCCTAGTTGGTTTGAGATGCATTCATCCAACATGGGAACAAAAGACTGTAGAGATATCTTGAAAACATTAGCCAGGCATGTGCTCTGTTCAGCCTGAAGAAGTTTCTCAGAGGAATGCTGGTCTCTATGACAGCAATGCTAATCTTGGTGGCCACATATAGCTGAATATATCCAAAAAAAGGAGCAACGATCTTTGCTGATGCGCTAGGTCTTCTTGATGGCACTGGAAATTTAGGAAAGAACATATGAGAATTGTGCAAAAGGTTTCGAGTATACAACGAAAGATAAGAATAGTAACAATACCTGCTTCCAGCAGCATCATCAGTACCACCAGCATCATTGTCCTTGAACAACTTCTTAGCTGCACCGGTTCCAGGAGATGGTCTGGGCCTTTTTTTGGTGCGAGTTTTTAGATAGGTTACTATACAGACAAATAGCTCATACTTTGAAAGAGAAAGAAATCAAGTGGCTCACCTCTTTTTGTATGCCTTGGAAATGGTGCTTTTAGCTGCAGAATCAGGAGCCTTCTGTGTAAGGCTAAGATGCTCATCATCCTATTTCCCAATATATAGAGTTAGGTTGTGTTTAGTTCAACACAAAGTTTGGATTTTGGTTGAAATTGGAGATGATGTGACTGAAAAGTTGTGTGTGTATGACAGGTTGATGTGATGGAAAATGACTGAAGTTTGGATCCAAACTTTAGATCTAAACATAGCCTTAGTGTGGGCAGTGAACAATTTGTATGTGCTAGAGAGCTAGGTATAGGATGCACTGACCTGGTCATAGTCTTCATTATCAGCAGC